GTTCGCCGGTCTTCGGTAGGTGTTTCCGCGATGCTGACCGTGAACGTGGTCGATCACCCGCTCAACGCGCACTAAACTTACGGACTTTATAGGGCGGGGGCGGCCACCTGTCCCCAAGATTTGTGTAATGCCCTCTCAAACAGACGATCCATCCACAGCTCGATGCGTCTCCACACCAAAATAATGGTAGCATGACACACTTATCGAATCATCGGGAACTTTATTTCTACTTTACTTTACCTTCTTATTTCAACCCTCATAAAGGTTTTAAGAGTTGGTTGAAGGTTTAAGCTGTTCTTTTTATTTTAATCTCTGCAATACAATACTGTATAAAGTGTAGAAACTATTATATATATATATATACATATATAAAAATGCTATGCTTTGTCTAACTCGAATCGACCTTTTTGAGCCCGTAAAGGAAGCCCACGCGATAATTTCGCATACGTGCGGTGGAATCTAAACATTTAAAAAACTGCTTTAGTTTCTGAAGGTGTTCAGTTCTTTTTGTCATTTTATGTAATGACACTTTTTTCTTGGTTCGTATTAAATTCATATTTGCTTGGTCAAATAAAAATTTGTAAATAACTTCGTAACATAATGTCAAGACGGCGGGTGTTCTAAACAGCAGATTAGGGTTAATTTTATTAGAATGAAATATTGCAAAATAAATATTAAATATTTTTGTGGATGTTTGTTATCGAAATGTGTTCGAATCTAAATCATTATTTGTATGCGACCCTTTTATTTAAATTTGATAAAATCTATTAAAAACTAAATCGTATTACCAGTCATTCATCCTGAAATGCCATCTAACCACATTCGCAACTAAACTGCGCAGCTTCAAATTGAGTGACATTCCCGACATCTGGCGGCCGATAGACTCAAATACAACACTAAGGTTAGGCATTCTAGATTTTACTGTTTGTTTTATCCATTTAACAGTAACGGTACGGTAGTGGCGTGTTTCAATTTTCACATAGCAATATCAGTGTATATTTCATGGGTTCCCAAAAAGGAAAAATCATAACCAGAAATGGATTACTTGAAAAACTAGATTCAGTTGTTAACATAATAACATTTTTCTACTATTTCATCATTTAGACATCGGCTCTACACCTTTAAATAACTTTACTTATCGTGTGAATTTTTTTCCCCATATTATTCCCCCCGTAAAATGTAGACAATGTTTTTTGGTTAAAACCAAAACAAAATTCAATGATAATATTTCCAATGCTTTAAAAAAAGATTTTATCTTAATATCCCGAACCATTAGAATAAGTATTTTATTTTCTAAATTGCCAGCAGAACTTTCCTGAACATCGTAATGACGTCAGACGGACCTACATCGACTGTCTGACTGACACACGATATTGACTAAAATAAAGGACGAAAATAGCGTATAGCCCTTAAGACTCGGATTTATTTTCTTAAATTGAAACTGTCTGACGTTCTTTTACAAAATAAATAGTAGAATTAAAAAATAAGTTACAAACATTCGCATGTGTATAAGCAATTACAAAAAAATAATTTATTTCAGCAATTATTCGAAAGCAAAGATGACATACAATTACTGTATCTAATTTATATTTTGACTGCTTTGCTCAATAGCCGGACAACCGATTATTGAGTCACAGATTCGATTCCCAGCTCAGGCAACTTCCAGACCTTACATGTAGCAACTTCTGGTCTGTTGTGTAGATATCATAAAAAGTATAAGTACATAGGATTTTCTTGGGGTATCGTTTAAATTAAATAAACATGATTTTTTATGATGCGGTAACATAAAAAAATTAAATGCATTACAAATTCAGGGAAAGATGCCACGAATATTCCCATTTTCCCCCGTTTGGGAGCAAACATGTAGAAGAAGACGAGAGTGAACTAAAAAAATACATTTTCATATAAAATATTCCCTAAATGAGACCACTCGACCTATCAAAAAGTAATAAAATCTCATACACATTCAAGTTTCTAATCCCAATTTATGTATATACTTAAATTGCGTTGACATAATAGAGTGCCGTAGCTTGTAGCGCGTAGTACGTAGTGCGTAGCAGCGTTAGTTTACTATTAATCTCGAAGGCGTGCAAAATTTGAGTGCAAACTCTCTATTGAGTTTTTAAAATCTTTTCGTGTGGCTAACTCGCCAGAAGACTCCACGGTTTGCGCACATATGAAATTAATAGCGAAAAATGCTGCAACGCGGTACGAGCTACGCGCTACGGGCTACGTGTTACGGACTACGCGCTACGAGCTCGGTTGTAATATTTCGCCATAATTTAAGTGTAAAATTCAAGCTTATAGATTTAGAGATGGTTAGAAACTGGGCTCTACATGAGATTTGGTATACGAAAATGTATTTTATGAGATTTCATTTCGTTTTGTAAGTTGCTTATGATACTTATATAAGTGTTTAACTTTATTTACGTCGTTCATTTTTCTTTCCCTTTTGGGTATATGTCTTATGTACATCAGATGTGCCTTTTTTATAGTCCATTCTCTATTTTTGCCTATTTTCCTTTGTTGGCATACTTTTATACGAAACGATAAATCAGGGCGAGACTTGACTCTTAGACGATTATTATTTAACTATCCCTAACTCCAGTAAAAATATTCAATAATGCTAGGAAGCACTCCTGAGAACGATTCGTAACAGGTGACCCGAAGGTTAAGCGCCTGCTTATCATGCATGAGGTTGGGGTTCGAAACCTGCCAAGTACCAGTATGACTCTTTCCGAGTCATATGTAGGTACCTACTTTCTATATAGACACAACTGAGTTCAACGGACATATTGTGAAGTGAGTGAAGGAAAAGATCGTGAGGAAACCGGAACTTATAATTAAATTATAATTTAAAATCGCTAATCCGCCTTAAGCAAACTTCTTGATTAATCTCAATCCTCCGTGTGAGCCTTTGCCCAACACCCCTCCACCTCTTCTCGAAGCATCATCATGCTTCAAGAAGAGATAGGTAGGTACCCTTGCTTCACTCAACTCATATTGACGGGGGCACAGGACTGCAAACCCGCAAATACTTAAGTAGAAGATTTCTATAATAATATGTATCTAATTATTTAAAATCTAAAGACATATCAATGCCACGTCAGGAAGGTTCTATGTACCGATACAAGTATATATAATTTTATTTTCAAAGCGTGACCTTGGTACGATCCCAATTCCGAGTAGGTACTTACCTACGTATACAATGCTATATAGGATAGAAACAGGGAAAACGAAGGACGTTCGAAGCATGGCCAAAAAGAGGGGAAACGCGGCCATGAGAATTATGCGTCCAAGGTCGGGTCGCGGGTTAGGTAGGTACCTACCTACTTACTTTGTTTCGAAACTTTGCAATTGATGTTTGCAAAACAAATAAGATGAAATATACCTACTAAAAACGACAAATCAAACAATTTATTGTGATAATGTATTGGGAGACGAGAATCATTATGGAAGATTACTACAGGGAGGGATGAGTGGCGTAGCCAAGTGGAATGGAACCGGCGACCTTGTCAGGGCGAGGTCACACCACCCCGCCCGGTCCCTACACCTCCTCGGCAGCTTCTACCTGCGCCTCTGCGGACGTCACCGCTAACCATACTGTGTAACATAAATGCCAACACTCGTAGGAAACCTCCATCAGTTTTATTTCTGTACATCTCAATCAGTTTTATACATCGAGTTGATATCGATCGAGTTTATTAGCGATTTGGACTTCTTCCTGTCTACATGATTACCACATCTACATTGAACATGACGCAACAGCACTCCCATACGCACCTTCTCAGCCGTATAAATCATGTAGTCCTCGGAAACTGACATAATACTGGAAACTACGCAGTAAAGTGTTGTGTTTGTTATGTTTAGTTATGGACAATAACCGCGATCGGTACGGGTACGGGGCACGGACGGCCGGAGCGGAGTCGGGAGCGATGACGGCGGCAGTGCGCGGCCTTGGCCGTGATCGCGCGCTCGATATAGCCCGGCCGAGCGCCCCGCCTGCCACGCCGCCTCCAACCTCCCACGTACCATCTCCTACCCACATTTTACCTCATACCTACCATTCTATTTCCTTCCGAATTTCTTAAAGGTAGCAATTTTCCAGTTATTTTCGACTGACAAGATCCAAGATTATTTAAGTGGAAACAACTAATTTTTAAGCATGTCCCAAGTACCTACCTAAACTAAGTAGTCGTGACCAACAACAACAACATTTTAGTGAAGTTTAAGGAACATTTACACATCAATAAATTGTCTAGCAAATTCAATTTCTAAATTACAGTCTTGTCTACGTACAATTTTCTTCAATTAATTATAATTTACTTCAAGGCTAAGTAACGAACGTTTAACGTAAGTACGAACTTACCTACTTTAATAAATATTATGTATTATAAACTCAGCACAATTAACAAGAAAACAATATTTAACGTTGTTGGAGGACGAAAACATCGCGACGCAGAATATTTATTCCGCAAACTGTGCATAAAGTCGCTCAATAGTACTTAGTAGGCAGACGGCGTAGTTAGAGCGAATCAGAATTAGACACCAAGGCCACCAAGCGAAGTGATATCATTTATATGGCGTGTCTGTCCCTGAACTCGGCGAATGACGCACGTGAATCAAATATCACCCTGACCTTAGTCGTAAAAATAATCTCCGTAATGCCACCTACAATAATGGAACTACTTTCCACCCAAAACATAATGAATTAGGGGTCACAAAACGAATTGCCTCATGTCCGTTTCTTGTCATTTGAAAACTGACGGGCGCCCAATAACTCTAAAAATAACGTAAACTGAACATTAGTAACAGTTTTAGGGAAATTACCCCTCGTAATCGTAATAACGTTTTTAGCTGCAACTTCATCCCGGTAAATCAGAAAAAGGAAGATTTCCGAAAATAGTCCATCTAATATCTCCACGTAAATAAAATAAAATGTATTAGGGCAATCGATATATATTTATAATAATGTACCTATAGTAATAAACATTCAGCAACTATTTAGCTTTAGCTTTCTTTCCTTTCTTTTTAGGCGGCATACTTTTATTGTTCTTAGCAGATTTACCCTTTTTGCCGCGGCCTTTTGTTTTCTCTTTTGACTTTTGCGCGCGCAAGTCTTTCTTCATACGCGGGTCGACTACCTTGTAATGTCCTTTAACTCCTTGAGGTCGTTTCATCCGCTTGGCTGTAGTATGTTTCTTAGCCACTACGTAAGTGACCTTTTTCTTCCCGTCTGTCTGGGCCTTTTTATACAATGTCTTGATTTGTTGTGCCTTCTCTCTTTCCGACATGTCGGCGTTTTCCATAACCGCCTCCACCTTCTTCTTCGCACGTTCCATCTTTTTTATCATACGCTTCTTCTTACGTGCTTTAGCTTCTACCACTTTCTTAATCGGGCGGGCGTTGATATCTTGCAACCTATTCTTGTATTCTTCCGTATATTTCTGCAAGTTTTATTATAATGCATTACATAAATAACTTAGAAATAGAATAGGCCATAAAAATTGTGGCAATAAATGTACAATAAATTATCATGATTGTATGAATAAATATAATTACCTCTGGTACAACGACTGGTTTCTTCATGTGTTTCTTTTCATCTTCAACAAACCAGTCGGGTAAATTAGTATCATTGAAGGCGTAGCGGTTCCATGCATCATCAATAAGATCTCTTTTGAACTTTTTCGACGTTGCTATCATTGTTCCTAAAGCCAGTGTCTCAGCATCCATTTTAAGAGTTTTCTTTAGTCGTTTTAGTTCTATAAAACACGTAAAAGTACATTAGAAAGTTTATACAAAATTGACATTGTATGAGGCATTCAAGTAAATTTCCAAAGACTAAAAATGAGTGTAAATGCATACTTCTTTTGACTATAAAAACATTTACATGAGTACTTAGTGACTATAAGAGAAACGTACCTGGGTCTTGTGACACAACTTCAAATCCGTCTTTTTTACTTGTATCAGGTCCAGCCTTTCCTGTTGCAGGAGCAACATTGTCTTCTACATCATAGTCACTATCTGACGAGTCATCATCAGAACTCTCATCTTCGAGTTTTCTCTTCAAACTACCTCTCTTGTCATCGACCAGACCATCTTCTGCAACCTTTTTACCTTTTTCTTTGTATGTTTCTGCTAACTTATCCAAATCTACGCCTTCATCGTCATCCTCATCAATATCTTTAAAGCTATCTTTTTGGAACCATAGCTCTGCTTTCATAGAGCGCCGGGAGACTGGATCAGTATCATCCAAGTCAGTCAAAAGAGGATGGTTCTTGGGTATGGTCGGAGTTTTAGCCACCTTACTATTTAGTAAAGTATTCTGTTTTGTTATTTTTGCTACCTTCTTATTTTCCGTATCGGAATCGGAAAATGCTAAAATACAATATAAAATGTTGTTACAAAGTTATTTCAAAACAAGGAGTATATATAGTCTTTAATTTATTCATTTTTTTGTAAATGAAAAATATGTTAATCCTTACCCAAAGTTTCCTTATCCTGTTCATTATCAGAATCAGACTCCATTTCAAGTTCGCTGTCGGAATCTTTATAGTAAAGGCCAGAGGAATCCAATTTAGAAGACTCTGTATCATACTTGACATACTTTTGTTTTACTTTCATTTCATCATCAGAGTCATCACTGGCTTCTGCTACTATATCAGGTTGTTGGTCTATCATACGCGCCAATTCCTATAATAGAGAAATCATCAATTATTTAGTATCACTAAATCACTATTTGCCGGTGGAGGAGATTACATAACAAGCGACAATGCTGAATCGACTTAACTAAATAAGACAGTTCCTCAAATTAGACAAAACACTACTGGGTTTTTCTGTACCAGTATGGAGTCTTAAACCAAGAAAAATAGAAATGAAAAAATAATTTGTATCACAGCTAAAACCAAGTGACATATACAGTAGTGTCTGTAAAGACATTTTAGATTATTAGTACTGAATTACTGATGGGTACATGTTCATGTCCCAAGTCTGCGGTGAAATAGGACACACAGCATGTGCAAGACAGGGCCTTGCGCTGGTATTCTACTGTGCAAATACTAATACGATTACAGGGTGCTCCTTTTATTATGTAGCACCTCTATCTAAAACTGTTCTAGAATGTAATAATGCTCTTTTTAAGGCTACTTACATCTGCGTTCTTGATGTCTGATAAGCTGAACATGTCATTGCTCTCCAAGATAGGTCCACCATCACCTTTGAGCACCATTTTCAGATTCATTTTCTCAGCCAACTTCTGCCTTTGTTTATTTAGCTGTTTCCTTTTTCGTTTTGATGTGCGCCTTTCCTCATCCTGTAATTAATTGAAATTGTAACAATAAATTATTGACATTTTTTCCAAGAACATTCTTGGAAAAAATGTACACAAAAAATTGAGAACTATTTTTATTTCGTTGTAATGTGATGTGAATATAGAAAATCCTACATATGTTTTGTACTAATAATTACTTTTACAAGTTAAAATGTTTATTTTCAGTATAGTAATTTATAACTATTTACATTAACTAGTCATTTATAATTGATATTTTAATAACTTAATAAATCCAAACTAAAGCAAAGATTTATGTAAAAGTATAGTTTATAAATACCTGTAGTTCAGCAATCTCTGCATCAACACCATCTTCTTCATTGTCCTCCGTCTCTTCCACCTTCGTTTCATCATCACTGCCTTCTTTCTCATCAGTTTTGACCACCTGAAAATTGATACAAGAAATATTAATTTTACTTCTAAGCCTTTATTACTAACATACAAACATATTAATTAAACATTTTATTTCGTTGTTAATATTAAATTCTTTTGTGTAGCTGTAATTACAGTAATGACAACAGTAAAAAAAAGTCATGACAAAGCATTTAGAAATCCACAATTAATTTGATTAATTTCTTAAAATAAATTCCTTTCAAGAATGGAATTCTTAAAAAAGACAAACATAAATTTTGATCCAAATTTGCAATAGCTTTACAACGTTTCATGTAACATTCTATCTAAAAAAAAATATGTTGCTATAATATGGTGCAACAATCTTGACAGAATAACACAACTTTATGTGTACCTAGGTACACATAATGTTGTTAGTTGTTTAACATTTAACATAGAAAATAAATAATGTAACTAATTACCTGTGAGGCTTTCCATTCTTTCATTTGCTTAAACCAGCTCAGGAGTGCCTTCAGATCTTTTCTGCCGAGTACCTTAATATCTTTACAGCATTCCTTTATCTCTGCAGTTGTTTTAGGATGTTCTTCCACTGACTTATCATCAAATACAATCTGTAAAACAATAACCACATAGTTAATATAAGTTTTATTCATATTTAAATACGAAAAGAGGTTTATTAGAAAGTGAAATGTGTACCTCTGAGCATCCTTGCAGTAAATCTATTGGATCCTGGTCTGGATTCAAAAACTGTGAGAGCATTACTTTATGATGAGTAGTATAATCATTTTCTAAGTAACCTTCAGCTTTAGCCTTCTTTTGCTTCTCCGGATGTAAGATATTCATATGCTGTTTCTTCACTATGTCCAAATCTTCAAACACATGTTTGGGATCCAAAAATTTAGGATCAATAGTGTCCGGTGCAATATAGCCCTGACAGACCACAAAGATCTCAGATGATTCATTACGAGAAGCCTGAGGCTTTGTGGCATGAACTTTTTTAAAGAACTGTTTCAGCACCCACAAGAGTGCATGGTAGTCTTTTGATCTGAAAACTTTAGTAACAAACCATCCTCCCTCCCTCAAGAAATTTGTTGCTAATTTTAAGGCGCTAAGAGTAAGACAAGCTTGTTGGTATGCATCATGGATCCAATTTAGACCAACATTAGGAGCTCCATCGTGTAGGACAACATCAGCTTTCCATGTCTTAATTTCTTTCTTTATAGCCGATTTACATTTTTCTGTGGTAATATCTTCAGTGAGGCCGATGCAACCAGGAACCGGTTTGATAGGAAACAAATCGACTCCTATGACCACACTGGATACTGGCATGTTTTGATGCGCCACCTGCATCCACCCACCAGGGGCAGCACATAAATCGATGCATACTCGTGACTTTTGTAAAAATCCAAATTTTCGGTTTAACTGTATTAATTTGAAAGCAGCTCGGGAACGATAACCTAAAATCACACATGTAAAAGTTATTATTGCTAATAATTACAATGTGACCAAAACAGTATCATTATTTTCTTTTACAACATTACCAGTTTCCTTTGCGAGTTGATAGTATTTATCTTTCCGCTGTTTTCCTACTTTGGTCTTCTTCCCCATTTTTCTGTATTTATCACATCAATATAAATAATACAATTACAACGTGTTTACTGCTTCTTCAGTTGCAGTTTGAGGTTATTTTAATGTCAACGTCAACTCAACATAACTTGACATTTTAACCAACGTCAAAGTTACAGATGTCAAAGTCAACGAAAAAGGCAGACTTGCCAGTATTCAAGAAAATATCGTGGGTTCTTTTGATTGGTCCTCAATAATTCTTCAGAATTTTGATTAAGCAATTAAAGTTTCCTAAATTGTTGACTATTCTTTTTACTTTAAAAATTAAATAATTCTTTCCAATTAATCGGAAAAGTAAATCTGAGATGATATTTATTTGGAACAATTGGTAATCAAGAATAGCCGACTTTTTTGTTGTATAATACGTGTGACTGTGACGTCATTCGACTCTTAATTTTTGCTAATGGCAATTGGAATTTCATCAAAATCACCATTGTTTCATATCGAAGAGTTCGTGGTTTGTGCGCATTCTAAAAATAATCAGTACTTTTCTAGCATCGTGCTATTCACCAAATACTAAGGTTTCTTCAGAAGTGTTCTGTGATTTTACATCAAAAGATTATTTTGATATTGGATTAACTGCTCCTATCATCATGACTCCCAATCTTCAAACATTCGTCAACAGTTTTCAAAATCGACTGTAAGTATTACAATTTTCTCTAATCCGCTTGAAAATACGTTTTTTATGCCTGTATTCAATGATTACACCCAATAAGACATATTATTTTAACGAAGTTTATTTTAATTAATGACTGTATCGTTCTAGAACATTGTCGTTCAAGGTACGTTCTGTGACACACATACAAATATTTGTTTTCATATACGATACTGTGTTACAATAACAAGATTATAATCATTAATTGTAATAATAATATCTCATGTACTATAGTAATGATGACAATGTACTAAAACTTGGGCTTCTTGATGTTAAAAATGATGTAATGACTGTCCATTGTATGAAGGATGTTTACAATTTAGTGCAGCCACATAATTAACCTGTGTCCTGATGTGTTACAGGGAACCGCCAGTCCGCCAGCATTTAAAAAATGTCTATGGAACCTTGATGATGACTTGTGGTGCAGCTTTGGGTGGAGTGTTTGTTGATATGTACACCTGGTTCCAAGCTGGTATCCTGTCTGCCATTGTTGGGGCTGGTCTTATGCTTATGTTGATTGCAACACCTGATAATGGAAAGAACACAAACTTGCGTCTTGGATACCTCTTGGGTTTCGGACTTACTTCAGGTAAAAGTAGTTTCAAATTATGTCAATGGATATTGATTTTTCTACATGACTTACTACACAAATGAAATGAGTCAGTATTAAGTTATGAATAATTTGAGGATAAATAAATAAAACATTATGCCCTTTTCAGGAATGAGTTTGGGACCACTCCTGGAGTATGTGAGCTTTGTTGACCCATCGATTATAGTAACAGCACTTATGGGCAGTACATTGGTGTTTGTCTGCTTCTCTATTGCTGCAATGCTGGCTGACCGCGGCAGCTGGCTGTTCCTTGGAGGAACACTCATGACTCTCCTTACGTCTATGTCTCTTATGACCTTGGTCAATATCTTCATGCAATCTCACTTCTTGTATCAAGTAAGTATACAAAAAAGAATTGTATCTGAACATTCTAAAAGAACATTAACCAAGACTGCTTCTAGATAAGTCTATTGTTATAAAAACGTACATACGTTTCAATTTCATTATACAATTCTAGAACTCATTAATAAATAAATATGTCCTTGAAACAAACACAAGTCACTGGTCAAAGTACAGATTTTCTTTTCATTTAAATCATTATGAATGTTGTTTTAATGTTAAACTAGAGGTCAAGGCCTATTTGTGTAGTGAATATTGGCTACTTAAAGCCTAACTCATTAAAATCTATAGTCAAATTACAAACCATAACAAACTGCTTTGTAGGTCATATCTATGTCTGTATGATGAAATGTTATTCATTGATTTCTTTCACCTATTTTCCAGGCTCACCTTTACCTTGGACTGATGCTGATGTGTGGCTTCGTGCTGTTTGACACTCAACTCATCATTGAGAAGCGCAGAATGGGCAGCAAGGACTTTGTGCAACATGCCCTGGAACTGTTCATTGATTTCATTGGAATGTTCAGAAGACTGCTCATTATTCTGTCACAGAAGGTTTGTATGACTCTCTTCTAATGATATTTGCAGGTTGACTTACAAAAATGTTATTTGTTGAGATTTATAATTATTAACAATTGGTGTCATATAATGTTCTATACTACATTCAACTTTGATTTTTTATGTAAACATTAACTTAACTTATAACCTTGAAAATCCTTTTTCAGGAAGAACAGAATCGCCGCCGCAAACGTGAATAAATATAGCGATTTCACAAAATCCTTATTTACGCAAGACTTAACCAATGTTACAATACATTGACGTACCTACACATACGTGTAAGTTGCTCAAATGAGTCACCATCGAGCTGATGCAACTAGCAAGTTAAGTTTCGCGAAGGCAAGGACCATCTGCTCATCATTTTGGGAAGGATCCTTCAAATATTATTTTATTTATGAGTTGTTAACTATATGATATTTAAGAAATTTACAAGTTTATTAAAGGATTAAAATAAATTGGAACTGTATGAATATAATTGTTTTATTTACATAGGTAGTCCAACTACCTAACTAATCAGCATACATCCTCTCCCCCTCCCTTCCCCACAACGCGCACCAATTACGTCATTAATAAACAATTCCAATGTTTATTCAGATCTATTTAATTATGAGGCTGTGTAAATAAAACTGTAACTTGTAATAAGAATTTAATAATAATAAAAATAGGTAATCAGAAATGCCTGGTTCATATTATAAAAATGACGCATTTTCAATACAAATACTGACACAGTCGTGTCTCGTACACATAGGCACAATAGGCAATTGCTATAAATTCCAAGATTATTCTTATTGTTTACGTAAATGAAGAAACATGTACCTAATGTAATTAGATAGTGGGGAGCTAAATACGACGTAAAAAGATTATTGTTAAAGACCAGTGCAAAAAACTTGAGTAGTGTTTTTTCATCGATCGTCATTCTCATTTAATTTTTTTTATTATAGCCTGTATGATGCATACGATTTTCGGTCATTTCTGGTTCATGTGTCTAGAAACTACCTACAAATAAATAATATCAAAACTGTGAAAGCATTTGTGCTTATCATAAAACTACCTTCACGAAATAACGGAACGACACTGAAGGAGAGTGCATCTAAAAATTACTTAAATAGAAATAGATAAAGAAGTGTGCTATCTGCTACTACTTGCTTCGTGAGGGTGTATTTTGTTCTTATCATAAAGAAACATTTTCCTTGCTTTATCTAATTCATTATTAATTAGTATACTAATAAAGTTTATAACGTGTGCTTCCCCATTATGTATATCTGCGGTACGAGAAACTTCTAATTTATTTGCCACAGTATCATCATCAGTGTTATCATTAGTTCGACCGTGCCCCTGGCGTTTCGGTTGTCTTATGGTATACAAGTCTTTAGATATATTCCACCTGTAACACTTACAATCCTTAAAACAATTACATGAAGGAGTCATCGAGTCTCCACTCCTCACCACATATTCATAAGTTGTAACTCCTAGCAACGATATATAAATGTGGAAACAGCACAAATGCAATAAGGCACACCCGATGGCTAACGCCATTACACAAAATAAAATCAAAAATATAAGGAAAGATATAGAAGTCCTACAAAACCCTGGGATCACTATCGTGCTACTGTATGAAGTACTACAATTAATAAAGTTTTGTGCTTCAATGCTAAAATATTTGGGATTTGTAAAAAATATCACAATGTCTGCTACACATAATGATGTTGTTAATGTAGATATCATGAGAGCCGTAGTAACGCAGGCAACAAACGCCAGGTAGTTTCTTCGGCCAACGCAGTTGTTAAGCCACTTGCAGTGGTGATCGAAGTTGTCCACGCATTTATTGCAAATACTGCAATGTTTGGTCCTCCTGCTGCTTGTGTGTATGTTGCACAGATGGCATCTTCCATTTTCGATAACGTGGGCGTGAACTGCTCGATCAAACTCAGGAACATTGTAAACAGCCAATTTTCTCAATTCTTTTTCACTCGGATCTAATAATGAGGCCGTTAGATTCGATGAAACGTGAGAGATATAGAGTACAGTGAATATCACCAAGGATATCGTCCTCAGTTCGTTGAATTGTATGTCTATCAATATAAGAAAATTCAACGCGCCAGTCGCAATAAACACGACCCAGCTTGTGACTTGTTGGAAGTTCAGGGGCAATTGAAATCCATTTATTCTTCTTTGAGGTCTTGGTGATTGATGGGAGGAACAGCAATTGTCCATCGGTAGATGTTGATAATTATCATTTATTCCAGTAAGCGACGTTATATTTAATATCCATTTCACACAGTACTAAGGCACTTGTCAGTCAAAACTACATTGTGATTGTGACCATTTTTGAAACAAAAGGTACAATACAGCAGAAAGCTCAGTTTTAACCTTGTGTTGTTACTTAATTGTTGGTCAAGCCCATATAATGCGCGCGCATCTGTTCGATTTCACTTAATTAATTAACTTTTTACAATTCCTAGGATGACATCACCTCCAACTGGGTGGATACTATAACTAATTACACCAGTTATTTTGTGTACATTCTACCTTTATTTACGTAATTTTAAGAGTTTATACACTGTATACAGCTTGTTACCATGGAAACGATTGACCTACCTACACTCAAAAAAATAAATAAAAATGAAACCTTTCTAACAATATGTTTTGTAAGAGGGCTTTTTGCAAGTATGATCCTGTTGCTTGGTATGTACAGATAAAAAGAGTCAGCCAGTTACAATTCCAACAAATGTATTTACTATTTTCTCTTAAAACATGTAGGTAGAATATTTACAAATATTTACATTATTAAGTAATTCCCCTAGATTAACGCCATTGTCTTGTGTAAATTAAGTGGTATCAGTTTCTGTGTTAGCCTGAACATTTGCAAACTTCCTAGCCATTTCGCGTCGAGTATGAACTAATATTCCATGTCCTTTACAGTCTAACTCTTGCTCATAGCATTTGTTTCTGCAACACTTTTTGCACAGTTGATATAAACATTTTCCACCCTGAAAAAGGAATAATTTTAAATATTACTAGTTAAAAATTGGTAAGCAAGTTAAAAACTATTAATAAGGTAATACTAACAAGAGGATTGGGGCAATTTTCACTAAAGCAGATTTGACCACTTCTGCTATTCTGCTGAGAATCTGGTTTTTCTGGTCTTCTGCTTATTCTCTTCAACTTTTTCAGTTTCTTCCTAGATAGGATTGTGCCATCAGTGTCCTCACATTTCCTTTTTTCAGCAGCATTTTCCTACAAACAACATCTAATATAATTCATTAAAGGTTACTAACTGATACATCAGTAAAGTATGTTTATTTATTTCTTTTTTTATACCTGAATTATATTTAATTTCTCCATTTTTCGTGTGTGTTCTTCAGGTGACATTCTTACATAAGGCTGGCATATCCATGGAGGTAATATTAAATTGAATCCAATCCTAGTTATGTTCTCATCATTCTCAATATTAATTTTACCTTCATGATAAGGCAAGTACTTGTCTCTAACATTGATACACACTCTCTTGAAGTCATCTAAGTTTTGTGCTGTGGCCAGAATTTGTCTATCTTCATTGTTTTCTTCTAGTGAAAATCTAAAAATATCCATAAAAAAATCCATTTTATAATTATGTTTAAAAATAACTTGGCTATAATTATAGACACTTTTAATCAATGATTTACTTACATTTTATGAAATATTTTAAATAAATGACCTCTTATATAAGATGTTGGGCAAGGATACTGTTCTACTAAGTCTAAATACTCATTAGCTATCTCCCATGACACAGGATTTATTCCTTCAAATATGGCTGGATTTGTTAGGTTTCCCTCTGCACTCATAATTCCATCTACTTTAGTATATTCCAAACATCTGTAGACATCTTGCAAACATTGAATGTTCCCATTAGCTAGCATGGGTATTGATATTGCTTCCCTAGATATAAAAATCTGATTAGTTTCTTCAATCAATACAGCATATCACAAGTATGGCATGGTATTGTTTTACAAAACTAGGTACATTATATCAATAACGATTTAGGTATTATGATATGTTATCACAGATAAGTTGGTTACATAATAAGAGAAACTCATATGATATGGAGTATAGTTAGGGCAAAATTCACAGATTAAATATTTCTGTTACAAAAATTACCTTACTGCTTTTATGTGTTCCCAACTAGCGATTCCAGTCAATGGTCCCTTTTGTTCCCTAGTTCTGCCATGAACTGTGAGCATTTTACATCCAGCATTTTGTAACATGAGAGCATACTCCACTGATTTCTCTATGCTCTCAAAAATCCTTACTTTGCATGTTATTGGCACCGAAACTGCTTCAGACATTGTTTGCACTAAAACAAGATATTCATTGGTTAATTTGATCAATAACCAATTTCTTGTCAAGAACATATTAAATTAGTAATACAAAAATCTTTACCCAGTTTCTTCAATAGATCCCAGTCATCTTGGAGGAAGGATCCATATCTGCCTCTTTTGGCTATGGATTGTGGACAGCCAAGATTTATGTCAATGGCATCACATTGGCCCTCAACAAGTTTCGCAGCCGATGCCATAATTTCGGGGTTATTTCCACAGAACTGAAAAATAGTAACGCAATCTCTTAAGTATAAACTATATAAGCATGAACTTGTATTCAGAGGCATAGTAAGCATTTATATAAGTAGGTGACTATTTATTACATTAGCTACTTATCAATCCAATCCAATAAGATGTTTGTTGTTGATTCAAACTTTATTAAATAGTTACCTGTACAATCAGGGGACGATCTTCCTCACATGTAACCATGTTATCTTTCCTATACTTAGGGTCTTTATTAAAAACATTACTGTGAAACATTGGCGTGTAACATAATGTTGCTCCATGTCGCCGGCATAAAAGGCGCCAAGCTAACTCACTGGCATCAACCATAGGAGCAACCACAAACCGTGGCCTGCCTATAGACTCAAACCAGTCGTAAGTCATCTTTCTTTAGAATATAATTGATTTATCTCAGCTCTTATTCGCAACTTTCCTTAAACTACCTATCATTCAAATTGATAACGTATCCAATTGAATTATAACATAAATAGCAACTGTTATTGTCAGTATTAGAATATGAATTCCTATGTTTTCTTACACGAAACTCTTAATCCAGATGGAAATCTAAAGCCCTAGTAAAAAATCTGATAAATATTAAAACACACTACAATAAAAATACACGTGAAAATGTGCCTGTTTATCAAATGTCACGAAGACAGATGACAATGTCAATTGTGACAATTCGCCAAAATAGAACACTATAAAACTGCCCATACACGGTCCGTCCTACAATCTAGCACTCTAGATCGCAATCTCGCATCGCACAATGTCATTAAGATTTAATTTGAAGGAATTTTCTGATGTTAATTTTTATCTGTAAATCTGTATATCTCTTTAATTTTGTAAGTCTTGAACGCGTCATTAATCACATTTTATTCTCCTTCAAAATTGTCACTGTCACGGTCTGATCAAATTGTCATCGTTTTACTTTGGTGGTGGTGGTTATGGTTAGCAGTTGCAATTCACAAGTTTACCGGTCTTATTATTTTTACAGTCGTTTTATCCTACTAAAACGTTAAATTCATTTCAGTTTATTTGCCGCGCTCTCCACTGTTTAAGATATAATGAGTGATTAAATGGAAAACTAATTTGTGAATATCGTGACTTAATGTACAAATAAATTGTAGTAAATTAAAGCATAAAACAGAAAAAAATATTAGTTATTTTGCCGAATTAAAGTACAGGAACAACTGCAGCAATGGCACACGATATTATGGTATGTATTGCAATATCTAATCAATTTTTTCCCTTCAATCATTGTATTTTGGTTAACTTTGTTTATTTTGTTTTCAGAGTCAATTTTACACAAGTCTGAATCTGCCGTTACATGAGAAAGTTGACGAGTTGACTAGAATCATAGACCAATCTACTCCTAGCAAAGATCTCCAGACATTGTTCCCTCAGTTAATCAGTAACATATTCTCAAATACTTTCAATAATGGCTGGGGACTGCGGACAGTTACATATGATGGCAAAAAGCATGAATTTATGGCCTTGATGGCGTTCTTTGAACCATTGGGGCCAATGTTCCGATTGTGCTATAAACTTTTATCTGACCCACAGTTAAAATATAATGTTCCACTGAATGTACTACCAGTAAGTATTACTTAGTAAACAACAACCTTTATCATGAGGTGTTTAAATTAATAACCTTCTTACAGTTGGGTTAAAATGTCTTGTAATTATTGTTTCTAATATCTTATTCAAATAAATATCATGTTTCACCCTTTATTATCATAATGTAATTGATATTTTTAATTTACAGCTGGATTTGCAGATGACTTTGGAAAGGGGAAGATGTCCACAGTTTTACTCTGACATGCTTGTCACAGACCCACAAACTCTCAACGTTGTGGCTTTGGCACTCAGTATCCTTTAAAACTGCAAATATTTTGTTTTAATTCTTTGACTCTGGCAAGGCAACTTCATAATTATAAATAATAAATCAACTGCATTTGCAGAAGTACATATAGTCTTGCTAGTAGACTTTATGGCTATATTCTGAATGAATTGAAGTATTATTATTTATTTGCTGTATTATATTTTATATGGGCCAAAGTTGCCTGAAATAACGGAACAATAAAAAAATATATTTTGTGGTGCAACTATGAACCACAATTATTTAAGTTGTATGTAATGATGAGTTCCCTGCAAGTTACATGTAATATGTACAATTTATAGTTTGAAAAGTGCCAAATTATGGATTAAACTGTCAAACACCGAGCGGTCACCGGTGACCGCAACCTATTGTTCTTTGTGTCTATAATGACGGTACTCAACGAGTTAATATTAACATGCTTTGACTTTGGTAGAAAATCTTGTTATTCTAGATATTGTCAAAAATGTTATATTTATTTCATTCTACAGTCTTTAAACCAATCTCTTCTCTGTAATTCAATCAAATATTTTCCTATAAAGTAACAGATCCATTTGATTATTACATCTTCAATTTTGCACTCCATCTTGTTAGTAACAGCCAACAGACAAGTTCTTGGGAGAACTGGAGCAGTGCTTACTTTGCCCTGGCATGTGACTATCTTGTGCACTTCTTACCTGCAGACCCAAATACATCTGTACTGCCACACATACCGAACTATACAGGCAAAGTACCCATGGCTGCTCCATTGCAAACTGCTAATAGGTAAGTGCTTTTATCTATCTATGCAGTATTTATATCACAGGGAGAAAAAGATTAACTGAGCCCTTTACAAACTCGAATTTCTCACGGTATATGTGAAATCGAAGGCCACAAGGATTTTTCCATTCGGGAATCGAGTGTGCAACACTACACTATATTCACCCCTGACATACTGCCAACTGTGTAACAGTGCAATAATATGTATGTAATCTACATTTCAGACCCTTGTATTCTCCATCTCTGCTGTTGATACCTGATCTGTCTGGCAGCATGAGCAACCAACATACAACAACACAGAATCAATCAAGAAATGAGGTCTGGCGCTCTGAAACAGTGCTACAAGTCTTCATTGACATTTGGATGAGTGTGGAACAGTTTAGTCCTAGAAATGTTGAAGTAAGATACTGTTTAATTATTTACTTTTTAAACTTGGCCACACACTGTGTTGTCTCCTGTGTCATTCATTGGTGTATTCACAATTTCACTTGCACATCATATCCCATCATACGACACAGAACAAACTATTTGTGCATCACAAAATAATTATTCCTTGCGGGAACCGAACTTTATAGTGAACCAGTCACTGCATCAACTGAGCAGAAGTGCTTGAACTAATTATTCTAATTTGAATACAACAGATGAACTGTGATATCCAAACCCTAAATAACAATATTATTTTTATTCAATTCAGATGTTTCAGAGAAACTATACGACAGTATCTTCTAGTCCAGAGCGTGTGAGAACTGTACGTGTTCTAGTCAAGCATTTACACGCCTTCTCGGCTAAACACATGTCTGACCCTGCAGTCAGATCATCAGCACTTAGGAAATATGCACGTCAACTAATGTGTGTTCGAGCATACCATTATATAAAGCATTTAGTCACGACATGGCCGCTCGATGCGTCGTTCAGACTCGTCATGGAATTGTGGCTAAGTCTTATTCAGCCATGGCGATATGTCAACAACAATATTTCTGAGGACAGGTAATATTATTATATTACTTACTAGCTACTTCCGCTTCAGTTTCACTCGGTCTGCCCAGCGCCTATTGATTATAGAGTGTTGTTTTATGGCCTATCTTTACATGTCCATCCTCGATAAATGAGCTATCCAACACAATAAGAACTTTTCAAATCGGACCAGTAGTTGCTAAGATTAGTGCGTTCAAACAAAGAAAAGCTTCAGCTTCATATAATAAAGTATAAGATAAGATGTATTGCATTTTACTGTATCTATTTTCAATATACGTAATTTTTCTAGATTTTCTCACCACAACAACAATGCAGAAGATAAAAAAGCAAATAAACTGGATTTGAGTTTTACTCAGTTCATAGCTGAAAACTTTCCGTCATACACTTGTATCTTCCAACTTATACTGCCACGGTTTATGAGGCTGGACCTCAGTGCTTACAAGAATGCCATTATGCTGTTCAGATTGGGAAAGGTAAGCTTTCACCTTTAAAACGTTACTTCATATTATAGTTTATTCGTGGTACATATATATGCGCATCACCCCTAGTATAGGGGCTATCTGGAATAATAATTGTGGATCATACAAAAATGTAAAATGCACTCATGACACTTTGCAGTACCCCGCAGCAGCCGTCTCGACCGCCCAGCTACTGAGCCAACTATGCCTTATACTAAATATTGTTAATTTATTCAACAGGTCTTCACTCAGCAACACCTCTGCCCAATTCTATGGAATTTAGAAAAAGCCATTACTGACAGTGGCACTGGTTTGAGTCTAAGTCCAGATACAAGTTACAATAATTCTGGAATGGAACAAAGGTAACAATTTTTGTACTATAACTGCTGGGACTTATTTATTAAAACTTTTTATGATTTACTCAAATAGATAGCTAATTTCAAATGTAACCGGGGTCCACTATTTATCAGCCATGGAGGCGTGAAACCACAGAGTCGTCAGTTTAACATGAACAATAAAGCGTATAAAAAATATCAATAATGTTATCGCAGACTTGTTCAGGAATCATTTAATAAAATAATCGTTTTTATTTATTTATTTTTTACAGTTACAATTACAATGGTATTTCGTTACACAAGTGGGTGACAATAGCCAAGCAATCTTTATCAGAATTCAATCTATCAGCTAATTTCGAATATCAACCGATATGGGGTGAAAATATGCGATCATTTGCATCTCACTTGTTGCAAAGAATTGTGACAGCTAGAACAACTGCAGAAAATAATATAGAAGAGTTTAATAAAATGATTAATCAGCGGAACAAAGGTACATTTATATATAAGAACTATCGTGAAACTTAAATAATTATTTAGTTACGTAAACTATTCAAAGATGTCTGTCTAATTTCAAGTCACATCAGTGTTCATAATCATGAGCCGTGTGCGCGACGACGGACGTACCGCTAAATTATTTTACCTACCGATTATGAGACCCGATGTGACTCGAATCTGATCAGGCATCCTCAAATAGTTTACGTGAGTTATACTGAAACGCTACTCAATTTTAGGTCGCTCTTAAGTATAGTTCTGCCATTACAAATTCTTTGTAAAATGACAGAGATGGCACGATATTTAAGTACAACTTCAAATTGAGATGGCTTTCAGTATTTGGGCGTTAAAGTTAATCATTTTTAACGGCACCACTGTAAAAAATAACAAAACAAATTATATCTGTTATTTTCTGGTTTTAGGCATATGGGGTTCAATCAAGGTATTTTTAATGATAGAAGATGAAGGAGAGGAAGCCGCTTTGTTAGAAGAAAATAAGAAAGTGCCACATTTCTTATCAACCAGTTTCCATTACTTCTCATACATATTTGGGGTAATTATATTCTACATTTTGATCTAGTATACTCAACTCCTGAGTTTATAATCGTAACATTTTTGGATCTAACACATATTGGAAGCAATTTTTACTAATTTTTGTGGTATTTCTCTTACATTGAACATATTTATACAGATTTTATATATTTTCAGTTAAATGCACCTGTGGCAATTCCACCAGAACCAGTCATAGAAGATAATTCTATGGATAGTTCTTCATATGACAACTCTCTAAACTTTCCACTCTCAATTACGAATAAGGTAATTTAAAACATTTTTTTTTTTCTTTATGAAGCACAATGCATAATAATCATATAAAAAAACTTTGGTAATAATATTTTTTCTTAAATTTGTATTGCAGTTGCGCAGTAAACCTACCAAAGTACACTACATGGGTGACCCAGACCTTATGCCAATAACTACATACGAGAGCACAATATTAGTGAGAATGTTTTACCAAATAGCTTCTAGACTAAATGAAATGGTGAGTTCTACTTAAACATCTTTCATTGTCAAAGCTTATTTCTGAAAACAATTATAAATGTAGTGTGTAATTAATATTAATTATTAATGTGTGAATGGTGATTAACAAAGCTTAAGGCTAGCCTAGATTCTAAGTCTCAAACGAGACCTGTATTTATTTCGTTAGGTATATTCTAATATCCAAAATAATATGTCGGTTACCTTCCAGTGATGCTAGTGGTGACCTCTAACAAAAAACTGATGTCTGTATGTCCGTTCTGTTTAATATTTGCAGTATGGAGCTCAATTTGAAGTTCTGTGGAATCGAAATGACTTGTATGGGTTTATGGCTCGAGAAGTGCTACAATCACCGTGCACTATTCAGACCTACGTGAAGGATGTCACAAATCATCAGAACATTGTCAGTCAACAACTTCCTGCACGACTCTCTCTGCGCCGTCTTGGAACACACGCCTTCGTCGTATGGATGTCCATTGGCTACATCATATTCAAAATGTTATCCTACAGTGGATTTTTCTACGTGTTTGTACTAATCATTATGTGGATAATGTTCATTTTCTCAAAAGCTAGTTGTAAAATGTTAAGATTAATTTAAAATCAAGTTATTATTTCAATTTTTATACTTTATTCTTGCATTGAATAAAATTATTTTTGTATGAATCTGTGTCTGTGTTTTATTGTTGTAAAGACCACTGAATGCGTCTAAGGCCCTGGCCACAGCTTCTAGCGGTGCGGCGCGCGGTGCGACGGGAGGCGCGGCGGGCGACGCGATTTGCGTTGGTATGCCACAGCTCGACTAGTTGCGACCGCGGCGGCGTCAGCGGTGGATGTACTCAGTATTATTTATAATGGCCCTATCAAAAGTGGCACGATATTGTCTTGAGACTAATGCGTTTTTAGCTCAAGATATCATTAACTCTAAAATTGGAACGCACCCACTTAATGAAAAAATGAAAAACCTTGGCGAATTTCACACGCTTTATCACGAATATAGGAACTATCCAAACTATCTAATCTAACTATCAATATCTCACTAATAAGTTTTTCGGTATCCATTTGATGCGGAGCGAAATTTTCAAAACGATTTGTTCCGTTCGCGCGAACACAAATTCGTCCCCTCGCTGCCGCTGCATACGCCGCTCTGGCTGTGGCCGCCTCGATACTCCCCAGTGCATTTGTTTCACTCGCACACCGCGCCGCCCGTCGCCGCCGCATGTCGCGCGACGCTTTTCGCGCCGCAAGTCGCTCCGCAATTCGCGTCGCCGTTAGCTGTGGCATACTTCATACGTTGTCTACCATTTGTTTTCCCCGCTCACCGCTTGTCGCGCCGCATTTCGCGCCGCAATTCGAGTCGCGCTTGGCTGTGGCCAGGGGGTTACACTAGAATTGAAACATTTTGTTTTATATTGAACATTTTTATTAATGTGGCACTTACATACATTATCCTATATAGAATTAAACAACAATCACGCAACTAAAGCTAAGTAAATTAACAGTATTTCTTGAGAGTAAGCTTAGGGATTATATTCATGGAGGCTAGCTCTTGGAACAGCAGTTTGCAGGCGTAAGGCATCTCGACGCTGGACACTGCGGCCGAGGAGCGGCAGGCATGACACCAGGCGCGAATGGCCAGCCGTCCGCACGCGCCGCATATGTCCGCGCTAAACGCGTCCGACGCCAGCATCAGGCGCTCCATCAACAACATACTGAAAATGTAAATATTACGATTTATTCGTCAATACAGTGATAAAAACTTGCAAGTTCTACGAGATCGATACCTATGTATATACTATAGGTATTATGTCCAGCTAGAGGGCAAGCAGTAACTAAAAATTACCCTACAAAACTGTTTAAATGTTACTTATCACTCACTTTAACATTACATGCCTTTACCTACATAATATTGCAATACTAACCTCGCGCCATAGCCAATAAGACAATCTCGTTCCATTTCTCCAAGACGCAGACCACCGTCTCGCGATCGCCCTTCAGTGGGCTGACGTGTGAGAACTGCTCGTGGACCGCGTGCTCTAGCGTGCATTTTATCTTGCACCATATGCTTCAGCTTTTGATAGTAAACCTAAAGAAAAACACGAAACTCACTCAATGTAATATACAATATAAAGAAGCAGAGCTTGTATGCGCAGATTGCAACATAAACACGAAATAATACACTTTGATACTTACAGGACCCGAATAGATATAAGCCTCCAACGTTTCTCCTGTGATTCCAGAATAAAACACATCTTTGCCATGATAGTTGTAGCCATGTTTCTCAAGTTCCTGGCATATATCACTAACCTTCGAACCACCGAATGCCGTACCTGGAGAAAATATTAAAAAAATAATTGATAATCATACAAAGAATACAAACACGATGTCCAATTATTAAAGCTATTTTATACATACCATAATGAAATTTCCCTTCCACCAACCCAGCTTTCCCTGCTAGCAATTCGATAGTTTTCCCTACTGTCATTCTGGACGGAAAACCATGGGGGTTCATGATCATGTCAGGACAAATTCCTCTATCATTAAACGGCATATCCTCCTGCTGCACAATTAAGCCAGTCACTCCTTTCTGACCGTGGCGGGAACTGAACTTGTCTCCTATTTCCGGCACTCGTGTCTGACGTAACAATATTTTAATGAGGAAAGCATCCTCCGAGTTAGAAGACACCATTACTTTTTCTATGTAGGATTCAACAGGTCCCTTGTATGTGACAGGCACATCTTTGTACTCCACCTGCTGAGGCTGGCCCTGAGTCACAGGGTTCAACGTCGCTGGCGGCATCTGCTTGTTTATCAAGACTTGTCTATTTTCCACCATTTCTCCGGGAGCAGCTATACCGTCTGTGTCAAGAACTTCATGCGCTCTAATAACTTTTCCAGTAGTCGCGTCTCTAGAAGGACCCAGAATTCTATCGGACGTTTGATTGCTATACCTCTTCATTGTAGTTTTAGCACTTTTATAAACAAGACAACGGCCATACCCGCGGTCTATAGACGCTCTGTTAAGTATCAACGCATCTTCAATGTCATAACCACTGTAGCTCATAACGGCGACTGTAGCATTCTGGCCGGCGGGCAGTTTATCAAAATTTGTCAGTTCTATTGTTCTTGTCTTAACCATTGGACATTGCGGATATACTAAATTATACATTAATGTGTCTATTCGGTTTTTCTGGTTATATCCAATTGTGCCTAAAATATAAAAGAAATATTTAATTAAAAATCTGATTTATTTATAGGAAAGTAATTATATTAGATAGGTAATAATATAGATAGAGTACTCACCCATTGCTTGTTTACCCATAGCACATTGGTATGTATTCCTAGGACTCTGATTATGATGTGGGTACGGGACTAGACCGGCACAGACGCCGAGGATAGTAAATGGCTCTATTTCTAAATGTGTGGTGACATAAGGATCTATTTCTTTTTCCGCCGTTGCTATATGGCTGTCATTTTCCTCATTCACATCTAAGTACTCAATAAGCCCGTCATTCAAAAAGTCTTGGAATTTTCTGATTCCTCTATTTAATTCATTTATATGGGACTGTTGTACTAATGGATTTCCTTTTTCAACAATGATGTATGGTCTGCAAAGTCTTCCACCATCACTGCATATGTAAACGGTCCTTTGATTGTGATTAGGGTAAATAGAAACGAATGCCGATATCAGCCCGCGTCTTCGGAACATTCTAAAAACTTTAATAAGCCTTTTATACTGTCGTGAAACACCTAATATGTTACCTGGAAAATGAAATATAATTAGTATAAAATACTGCAATCACAAATGGTTTAAAATTAACAAGTTTGAGTAAAGGAATACTAACCATTAAGAAACACCATATAGACAGCTGGGTGATTGATTTCCTCGCCACCTAAAATTCTTACGTCTTCAACACCTGCATTACGGGCTAACCTAGCTATTGGCTCTTCGGAACACTCAGTGGTGATATGTGTCATCAGCGCCAAGTTCTTCACGAGACCACAGGCTTCACCTTCAGGAGTGTCAGACGGGCATAGCATACCCCACTGCGACGGTTGTAAGGAACGAGGACCCGACACCTTCCTGGTCTTTTCAAACTGAGAATTTACTCTGGTCATCATACCCAATGCTGATATGTAACTAAGACGGCTCAACACTTGCGTTACACCGTGCCTCTCCATTTTAAATCTTTTGATTGTCCAGTTACCCTAGAAAAATAAAATAAATTATGTTAGCCAAAATTCTATTTGAAAAAGTGGAAAACTAAACTAAAAAATGTTATGAAAATTTTACTTACAGTAGATATAGCCGCAAACAGTCCATTCGCAATCAAATCTGGCCTCATATGTTTAACAACGTCAAACGGCGCGGCTTTAACTTTAGGTATTATTTTATCTGCTATTGATTTTAATTCCCAATTAAATCTTTTGAACAGATCTTCAAACATCAGTGCAAGTAAAGAGCCGGCTAACTCCATTCTTTTGTTTCCATAATAATCAGGATCATCTATAGCAGCCTTGTTTGTCTCAGCTTCAATTACTCTTTTAACCATTATAGCTAGGTAAATAGCTTTTACATAGAAATTATAGTTTTCCACAGGAACATGAGCTAGGATAGTTGTGGCTAACAAATCGCGAGCTTCGTCAACGGGAGTGCGAACTTTAGCTGTGCCTGATTGATACCTGGAATCAAATAAAAACGTAATAATATTATCTTAGCCAATCGGACATTATAAGATTTTTATTAATAGTTTTCTTTATGTTTTTTTACCTTTTAACTTTAAGTTTGCTCCCAATATAAGAGAGAGCCTGATTTTGAGTAAATATCTTCAAATGATGACATTCCATTATACAAGGTGCCATCTTTTTCATTGAGGTGTCGTTTGAACCAATCAGTTGCATAATTTCTTGGTCACTGCAAATGCCCATTGCTTTGAATGCCACTGCAATAGGTATATCCTGAAAAAGTGAAATAATTGAAAGTTTTAAAGTACTCCAATGAACCCTAAGTCTACTTAAGAATAAATATCCTATACATATTATTACTAAAGATCCCACAATCACTGATTAAACTGTCAAACACCAAGCGGTCACCGGTGACCGCGACCTATTGTTCTTTAATTGTGTCTATAAAACCGGTACTCGACGAGTTAATAAGAAATGAATATAACATAAAAAAGGTAGTTATACCTATTACCTATTCATTAGCTGTATTCATTCTCCTTAAAATTATTAATAACACTCTGGTATTACAAATTAACTGAAAAAATAATTACTTTTCACCAATCAATTGCTACCTATAATAACAAACATGAATAACTTACATCAGACAAAGCATTATGTCTCAACACATATTTCCCATTTTTAACAATAACATTAGTTCTTGTCTTCTTCTCATGTGTTGAACTAGTGACTTGACATTGAATTGCTCCCTTGAATTCATCTACAATCATACGGTTCCTGGAGAGCTGTTCTTGTATCAATATCACTTTCTCCTGACCTGTAAAACAATATAAAACTTAATTTATTTCAAATACTTGAACCAGTGTTGTAGTGTATTTACTAATTAGTGGTGGGTTTGTTGTGAATAATATTGTTTATGTTCAAGCTCAATACATCTACAATGTATAACTTTGATGTATGAGCGTTCTTAAAGATCAAACTAACTTACCTCTAATGATAAAATAACCGCCAGGATCATGTGGACACTCATTTAGTTGTGCTAATTCAAAATCAGATTTATTGGTCAGTACACAGTTTGATGATCTCAGCATCAATGGCATTCTGAAAAAAATAACATCCTTGAATTGACTCACATCACATCAACAGCCTATAAGCTCCCAATGTTGAGCAAAGTTTGTAAAAAGCTGGTTCAAACAAAATTCAAACTAGGAAAATAACACAATTGGATCATTATGACATATAAATAAACCCTAACTTTTGTTAAATAATTTAAACAGGTAGTTTTAACTTTGTACTCAACAAAACTAGCAGTCATTTAGAACCACTTCACCAAAATTGGGCCTCTATTCAAGAGCTATCATGTCATAGACCAGGGCTGTCCAAACTATATACCCTTGCGGGCTAATAAAATTTCTTATAAAAGTTGGAGAGCCAGAAAAATATTTTCAGTTGTATATTGACATTTAACATTGTATTGTAGTCACAGACTAAACTGTATACAAGTTTAGTCTTAAATCTTACACTGAATTTTATTATTGTTGTTGCACATAGATATATAGATGAAGATGTTGAGATCGTCGAAATTATGTAATGCGGCCCTCGGGCCTTTGTTTGGACAGCCCTGTCATAGACAAACAATGGCTTCACATTTAAGATACCCTCTCTTTTGAAAAAAGGTTTTAAAACAATATTCAATATTTTAGTCTAGTTAAACAGAATACAGTTCTCCCAAAGAGAGCGTAATTGCTAAGATTGCATTGCAAATAAAATCATGTAACAAAACAAGTTGATGAAAATGTTATAAAAATACCACATGGTAATAAATTATTGAATAAAAAGTTTTGTGCATACCTTCCAATCAACTGTTTATTCTTTATGACCCTTTGATTGCCTCTGATGTATTCTATGTCCACTGTGATTGGTGCAGAATACGTCATGTCTCTGAGCCTGCACTCATGTGGAGTAGTCGGTTTAGTAACATTGTAGCCTTCCTCTAAATCGGGTGTCCCAACATAAGCATTCAAATATTTAATGTAAAATAAAGGGTCAGCATCACAAAACACCTTTTCGTTTGCTTGCACTATTTTCTTAATTTCAACATTAATAAAATAATTGAATGAATCAATATGTTGTTTCACTAATCCTTTTACTTGTAAAAAGGCAGGTACTAATTTCCATTTGTCCTGAAAATATACAAACATTGTTGATATACATATCACATGTGTGGTATTTAAAACAATGCTACATAACACAAATATTATAACTATAATTAATTATATTTCATTTATTGATTACCATAAAAAGAAATTTATTTGGAGTTACATATTACTGTGAGATTTATACTTAACTAATGTTAACACATATACAAATAAAATATATGTAATACATATAAATAAAGAAAGAACTTATAAAGAAATCTACACAGTAACAACTTTGAGTTATTGATTAACAAAAAGAAATACTGTTGTTTGGCATTAAATTAAAATAAATAATAAAATCAATCGTTTAATGGTGTTCAATAAATGGTTTAATAATATTTAATTAATGACTACAAGCTAGAAGGGGAGTAATATATTACCACATGGGCTTTTATTTACGAGTACAAAGTATCACAAAAATAACCATGTTTTACACATTAAGGAATTGAAATAACAATTACGAATAGACTGCTGTCTAATTTAATCAATGTTGTTATATTATTAAATTTAGAAGACGGTTAATATAATAAAATTCGTGGAAAAATAAAAAGTCAACTAACCTCCAGTGTTTTTATCGGCTCTCGGGAAACTTTAGCAGAATCCCAATCATTTTGTTTTTTATTTATCTCACCCATGATTTAGTATTTTCATTAGTGTTAACATAATATTTAAACAAAGTATCTATTTAAAATATGTATGCCATTTTGAGAATCCGCCGCAACCACCAGACAGCACGATGTTGACAACTCAATTTACTCAATACAATACCTCAATGACAATTGACAATGACAACAAAGGGACGGGACCATAGAGTTTACGGGACGAGTGAACAGCTGTCGATATCCATAGACCTTTTTTAATTTAATGGACAATGACCATGTCAAACGACCAACATGTAGGAAAGTGAATAGGATTAAGGATAGTCGCAGTGCCTATATGTTGAAGAGAGTTGATAAAGCTCTTGAAAAAAATCTGGATTATATTATTTCATAACATCTTATTATGATCTGCTGAATTCATTGACAACTCACAATATAAAAGTAATTTGTAATTGAATTTTGGAATTAATTATAACTTTTTCGGCAAGGATGATTTCATAATCTGTATAGATGAATGAGTATGTGATTGAATGAATGTAAAACGTGAATGCAGGAAATAAAACTGACAGCGGCCGACTGATTCTGTAACTTGTTAAAAATAAAATTATGATCATCACCTTTCAGTTCGAAATTCCGTTTGTCGTTGTTGTGAAAAACAATTTCAAAACAATAAATTAGCGACTCTTGACCTTATTACAGCAAAATGCCTTTATACGTAATATAACAATTTTTCACACACATCAAGATGGTTTACGAGTCCATACCTCGTACAGTTAGAATACTTCTATTAGGTGAACCTGGAGTTGGAAAAACGTCGCTGATACTTTCTCTGGTAACCGAAGAGTTTACTGAACATGTACCGCCAAAAGCTGAAGAGATAACGATTCCCGCAGATGTAACCCCAGAACAAGTACCGACCAACATTATCGACATTTGTCGTATGTATTAATCTTTTATTATTTACTACATAAAACATCAGACTTATTACTTTACCAAATACTACATAGATATTTCAACATTATAATTGAGGTCCTTGTTAATATTTGAAAGTACTACCAGCTTGTTTTGTGATTAATAGTTGTGTAACTAGAAGTATTTACATGCTTCAATAGTAAATAGTTAGTTCAATAAGAATGCAATAAGTGTTTTAGTACATTGTAAATAAATGATAATGACATTGTTCAAATATGTGGCTTCTACATGTTTGTTTTACCACAAGGACATATTCTCATATACAATACACATCATGAATTCCAGGAATGCATGTAAACATGGTTGGTTGGTTTGATTGTTCATGTAAAGATGTGTTATAATTTCTGACATTGGTTGCAGTTGCTGAACAAACACTAGAACAAGTGGGAGAAGAAATAGAAAGAGCTCATGTAATATGCATAGTTTTCTCAGTAGACAGACAAGAAACACTCAACAAAATTGCCTCATATTGGTTGCCCTTTGTAAGAGAAAACTGCCCCGATGATTACAGAAAGCCAGTTATTCTCGTTGGCAACAAGATTGATTTAATTGATTATTCCATCATTGATGTAAGTTTTGCATCACACATATAAAGTATTAAATTGATAACATTGCATTGCACATTCTATTTCTAAAAAGTCGAAAGATAATATATTATTTATGTAACAAGACACTTCAAGACAGTGTGTCAACATATTAATAATTAATTTCAAAATCTAGGGATTATTTTCATCTACTTTATTGTTTGCATAAATAAAATAGAAATGTGATAAAACACTAAACACACCTCTAATAAATATTTCAGAATATTTGGGACATAGCAGAAGAGTACCCGGAAGTGGACAGATGTATAGAATGCTCAGCAAAATCTCTTATAAATGTATCTGAGATGTTCTATAATGCACAAAAAGCTGTCCTACATCCGATTAATCCCATATACAATATTGAAGAACAAGAGGTAAGTCATTACATGTACCACTGTACCTCTAATTGTAAGAGCAGGAAGAATGTACAAGAAAGGATATATATTGGAATATATAGGAAGAATGTACAAGAAAGGATATATATATTGTATTGTACATGTCTAGCTTAATGTATGCACATTACTCGAAACTAATGCAATAATAAGCTATGCAGCTTATGTATTGCAGAAATAAGACAGAAATCCGCTTCTGTCAAAAAAATAATTAACACTGAGTGGGAATGCTTATATTAACTTTTACTTTTTCTTTAACTAGTTAACAGAAAAATGCAAAAGGGCTTTAACAAGGATATTCAAGATCTGTGATTTAGATGGAGATGGCCTGTTAGATGACTACGAAGTGACAATGTTTCAAAGAAAATGCTTTGATTCACCTCTGCAATTACAGGTAACATCATTGACTTACATTCCACTATTAATAAAATTTTATATCTCTTATGTAAGTGTGAGGTAAACAACGATGTTGTTGAAGGTGAATTGTACATTCTATGACTGCTTTTATGCAACAAAACTTACAGCATTGATGTCGTTTCAGGTTTTAGATGAGGTAAAATCAGTAATTGCTCAAAACATTGCCGGTGGTATAGAAAATGATTGTATAACAATAAAAGGTTTTATTTTCTTACATTGTTTATTTATACAAAGAGGAAGAAATGAAACAACATGGACAGTACTTCGTAAATTTGGCTATGAGGAGAACCTGGAATTGACACACAGTTATTTATATGCTAAGTATGTATTTCACAGTTTTTCTTTTTACAATATCTGCTAAATATTATAATTTTTAACATACAATTAATATTTCTTGCAGCATTAAGGTTCCTGTGGGCTGCACAACTGAACTTTCATACAAAGGACAACAGTTTTTAACACAGTTGTTTGAAAAATATGACTCTGACAAAGATGGCATGCTTAATCCTACTGAACTGAAAAATGTGTTTTCTTGCTGTCCAAGAATACCATGGCATAATTTGCGGTACACTGTGCCAACAAATGATAAGGTAATTTATATTAGCCTATAGCCTTCTTCAGGCAAGGCAAACATTCTCATTTGTCATCATACTTCTACAAGAAATCTCCATTGACTGGTTTATTCTTGCAGGGATATTTAACTTTACAAGGATGGATGTGTCGATGGACCCTTATGACCTTGATGGACTTGCAAAATACTAGTGCCTATCTAGCTTACTTGGGCTTCAATTTTCTAGAAAATGAAACACAAAAATCTGCTATACACAGTAAGTTTAGCAAAAATAATTATACAATAATATTCAACTATGAAACTCGAACTCATTTGTAAACTTTTTACAGTAACACGTGAAAAAAAAGTTGATATTGCCAAGAAACAATCCAGTCGAAATGTTTACCAGTGCCATATCATCGGTCCAAGGTCGTGCGGAAAAACGTCTATTTGTAGAAGCTTCCTCGGTATAGCACATAAGGTTTGTGTCAAATAATATGATTTACAATGTGACTGCAGTTCAATGAACTTTTCATTCTTTAAATTGTAATATTATTTTTTAGAAAATAAAACCACACGCCAATGAACGAGGTGACAGCAATACTTCAGATAATTGTTGTATAAATACCGTTTTGGTGTATGGTCAAGAGAAATACTTAGTGCTAAAAGAAATACCGATAACTCGCGTCTCGGATCCACTGCAACCTCATGAAGTCAATTGTGACGTTGCTTGTCTTGTATATGATGTCGCTGCTAGCCGGTCATTTGAATATATCGCCAGGATATATATCGTAAGTATTGTATTAAGTAACTAGCTTCTGCCAGCGGCATCGCCCGCGATCCCAGGGGTAAAATGCCTATGTATTACTTCAGATCATAAACTACCTCTGTTCCTAATTTAATTCCGGTCCCTTCAGTCATTTTAATGACTGAGTAAAAAGTATGACTGTGTGTATGTACAGAAAATAATCCTTCTAGCATGTTTGTATTGTAACTTTCGTGAGACATACTAAGTAAATTATTATGTTTTCAGCTTACTCACGTAGTAATTTGACGAGGAACTCGACTAGTTTTAAGCCATGCTAGAGGCGACTGTCGCGCTGCTACGACGAGTAGCAGCGGGACAGTCGCCGCGTCGCGGGTCGCGAAATGCTGCTCATGAATACGAGCCTCTAGAAGGGCTGAAACTAGTCGAGTTCCCCTTCTAGCATGATTCAGTATTAGCGTATTTCATGCATAAGTTTGGTTTTTCTATACCGATTTCTATTATTCTTTTTTTATTGAATAGGTAATAATGTTAACTTTTTTTAAATTATGGATGAGTGATAGTATTATAAACGTAAGAGTGTTAAGCTATCGGCAGTTACACGTGTCATTGTGAGTCAAACATAAAAGACAGATGCTGCTCTGGAAATTTTTTTAGATAACTTTATGTTGAACATTTCCGTTATAGATGATTTCTATGTAGCTTTAACCATTAAGGCTGCACACGGAAGCTTAAAAAATGGAGTAACTTCTCCCGTTTTTCCAACATTTCCCTACACTGCTCTGCTCCTATTGATTGCAGCGTGATGGAAGCTATAACTTCCCCAGGAGTATGAAGAATAATTGTACGAAGTTTCGTTAAAATCCGTCGAGTAGTTTTTTTTTCTACATATAGGGAACATACAGACAGACAGACAAAAATTTTACCGATTACATTTTTAGTATTAGTATCAATCACTAATCACCCCCTGGTAGTTATTTTGGAAATATATTTCCTGTACAGAATCGACCTCTCTACAGATTTTATTATAAGTAATTAAAACTGATTCAGGGCTAATCAATGATAATTTCCATCGTTTTACAGAAATATTTTGCTGAGAGTCATATTCCCGTGTTAATAGTGGGAACAAAGGGCGATGCGCTAATTGCAAGACAGGAGTACATCCTTCAACCAGATGTATTTTGCAATAAATACCAACTTCTACCACCACAGCTGTTCAACATTAGAGAAAATAAACACGATGTTTTCGTCAAACTAGCCACCATGGCTGCATTTCCGTAAGTAAACATTTATTTTTAATCAGCACTGCTTTCAGGATTACATCACTAGTATATTAATAAATTCTCATACCTATTGATAACTTTTAACGGATTAATGAGTTTTCAAATCAATATTTTTCCTAAATAATAGCTGAAATTTCGAAATTGTTATTTTAATTGTCTTTGTCAGTCAATTTCAAGCAGCTTGGATTTTATTCAGCAAGCACAGGTTAGTTGTAATTTTTTTTTAATTAGTAACATGTTGATTAGTTGTCAACGTTGTTCTGACTGAATTTATTACATTTCAGACACTTGAAGCACTTTGCCAGCTTGTCAGGGGATAATTCATCATGGTGGAAGGCGGGCATTGGAGTAGCTGCCGCTACGGTCGTGGGTCTTGTCCTCATTAAGATATTCAGCTTCCAGAAACGTTAGATTAGAGTAACTGCTGCAGCTTTTATTTATTGTACATAAATATTGTTATGTATTAAAAATAGTATTGAATTTAAATGCTTGAAAAATTATTTAATTAGACCAAAGAGAAACCTTGAATAGGACGAATAATATATTTTGTTTCAGTTGTAAATAAAAGTTTGATTGCGGAAAACACTTTCATTGTAAATATGAAGCACCTGAGAAAATAGTTTAAAAACGCTTTTGTGGCCTAGTCTTACCTAACTTAGTAACCTACCACAGATAAGATAGGCAGTATTCCAAATTGCTAATACAAACTCCAAATTCATAAAAGTACACTCAAGAAAAACCACACCAAGACGTGTCCGTTACTGAGGCTAGATATCGAAAATGGTCAGTTGAATCGTATAGATAATTAGTTGTGCGGCTTCTGTAATTGTTGCGCACGTTTATTTTGTTGCGCTTATAGTTTTTTAATTATTTTACAAAAAAACATTTTCTGCTGTCTCTGTATTGTCTTTCTAATGGGAATATTTAAGTAATTACTAGCTATAAAATTAGTTGTCTAGATGAAGTAAATATTGTGCCTTATTTTGTATTTGTTCTTTCATCGGTTGCGAAGTTATTCGAGATTTTGCTGGGGTAACGTTTTTGGTTTTTGCTAGATCTTTGAAATGGTTAAGCGGATTCTTATCATATTTTGAACATGACTTCTTAGTAATTAGTTTACATTTGTTGTTAACGACTGCCTCGTTGGGAGAGTGGTCGTAAGTGCGACTGCCGGGCAAGGCGTCTCGGGTTCGATTCCTGGGTCCGCGTCGGGCAAAGTATTACTGGGTTTTTTAAATATTCTCAGTACTAGCACGGAGTCTGGAATTGTGCTCAGTATATGGCAATAGGCTCACCCCCTATTACATGGGACTCATAACATAAATAGTGAAAAGTGGGTGTTACATTGTACAGTGGTATAATGCCTCTGCCTACCCCTTCGAGGATAAAAGGCGTGCTGTTATGTTTAATTTTGTTCTGCAATAAAAAAATGTTTTTGTGAAATAATAAAAAAAACTATAAGCGCAACAAGGATTCAAATGACAATTTTCGACATCTGGCCTGGGTAACGCACACCACCAAGACGTCACACATGAAATTCCACACGAGTACAAAGTATCACACCCCTATAACTGTATAAGTTCTGAAGAACAAATTTGATTTTGCACGGTTGGCGGTTGTCAAGTGACCGGCACACGGAAAATAAGTTTCAAATGAAAGTAGGTCATCATATCTATGATTAAATCATATTGAAATGACTTATTCAAGTGAAATTGTGTTTATAAACGAACCCACGACTGAATAAGACTAATTTAGGGCAATGTTTGACTAAAATATTCCTTCTTTTCTAATATCTTATTTGACCTGTGTTCTGTCAGAGATGCAGAGCCTCTTGAAATACCATTCGCGTGCACGTGCACCTCCATCGCCTTAAACCACCAGCGGTGCTGATTGACATTTGAAGATAAGGGTTAGCTACTATCTCATATTAATCTCACCATAATAGGATATATTATGATGAAGAAAATATTCTCGTAGATTATAAAGATAAACAAAACAGGGTGGTAATAAAAAAATAATCACTATTATAACTATTTAATGAATGCATACAAAGTTTCAAATACATAATACTATTCATCCTTAGTGGATAATAAATAAAAAATGCAAAAATATATACCATGTGGAAACAACTTATTTTGCTTAGAAACTAAGCTAGAGAAGGATGCGTAATGCCTATAGTTTAACTTTAATTCAACTATAATCTGAACTCGATCACAAATTCAAGGGTGACAACAGTGAAAGTTATAACAAAACCTAATAGGTAACTGATTGGTCTACTACCTAATCGTTAATTTCTAATAGATACAACTCTATTTTATTCCCGATTCGATAAGTTCTCAAAATAGTGCAACATTAAAACTGTTATGTATGTATGTATTATAAATTATGAATTGAGTTAAAAGTTAAGATTATAGTAGAAATTCTGCATTGTAAAATGTATTTGTAAAATAAAAGAAACTCATTTACATACAAATTCCAACATCATTCACACGGCTTTCATCTACGACGACGGTAAGAATCGACGAAGAACAAAATAGTATTGTTGTACAATTTGTAACTGAATGTTTTAAAAAAATATCTTGTGTTTAGAAAAAATAACTCTCTTTGTCATTCTACAATGAAGTAGCTAGTTTTTCATTTTCTGTAAGATTTTCAATAGATTTGACTATTCAAGCTATTGTATCATGAACTTTCACACTTAAATGGTATGAGTACCTTACTAGATAGGTGATTTTATACAAGAAAGAACATCTATACGGTAAGTCAATTCGTAATTACAAAACAAACTTATTACATCTAAATAAAGGTAATATTAATTTAATCAATATGGTCTTTGGCGGTCCCGGCCCCTGTAAAAAAAAAGAAAGATAATAATTTAATTTATATACTTAGCAATTAAAATGGGAGAAGTATACGCAAAGTGTGTGTAATACTTAGTACTGAAGATTAGTTAGTCAATCAAATTAATCAGTATAAATTATTTAAATACATATGTTAGAAGGTAGTGACTAGGTCGATGATGATAGTTACCCGCCGTCACTCCTCATTGCGCCGCCGCCACTGCCGCGGTCACCGCCGCCGCCACTGCCGTAACTGCGGCGGTCGCCACCACGGTCACCTCCTCGATCCCCGCGGCCGCCGCCGCCGCCGCCCCAGCCACCGCCGCCTCGTCCACCGCCTCCGCGACCCCCGCGGCCAGGTGGGCCACCGCCGCCGCCGCCACCACCGCGTCCATTACCGCCCGATGGAGGACCCCCACTTGCACCGCCTGCACCCTCTGGTTTCTCCTCATTACACCTGTTGCATGCTTTTCTCCAAGAAAAGTTTGTATTTCCACAGCTTGGATTTGGACATCTCCAATCACCGGCTCTATTGCCAGAAGGCAGGCCACCACCTCCGCCTGAACTGCCTCCACCTCTTGGGCCGCCACCGCCGCCGCCGCCGCCGCCACCACCGCCGCGGCCACCGCCACCCCCTCGCCCTCCACGGAATCCACCGCCGCCACCTCCTTTGTTACCACCCCATGTATTTTGGCGTTGAGCTAGAGATACTTTGATTGTAGCTCCATTGAAATCTTTTCCGTCAAACCATTGAATAGCTGAGGATGCGGCATTAGAGTCTTCATAAGTCACAGTAGCTTCACCTTTTGGTTGTCCAGATACTTTATCTTTATACATCCAGACCTTTGGTCTTTGAGTTTTCTTGTCGGTCTGTAAAAACAAATTACAGTTTTATTAACTGCCTAATTGATTGACACACAACATAACAGCTAAATGAATTAAAGAATATTGATTGAAAAAGCATTTACTTTGCATTAGTTTATATAGACCACTAATTAATTTATATCATCAACAGCCTATAAATGCCCACTGCTGAGCAAAGCCTCTTCTCACACGGAGAAGGTTTGAGCATTAATCACCACGCTTGTTCAATGCGGGTTGGCGATTTCAAACTTAGAAGGTTTTTCCTTCACTGATTGTCAGTGGTGTCTAAATAAGCTTAGAAAGTACATATAACTCGGAAAAAGTCACATTGGTACTTGCCATTGGTAGGTTTCGAACCCGCACCCTCATGCGTGAGAAGCAGGCGTCTTAAACCTCCGGGCCACCACGACGAATTAATTTATATAGCTTCCTTAAAGTTGAAACTAATACATAGTCCAAATATGTTACACACCTTAATAATACCGATAGAACCAAAGTGCTGGCATAGCTCATCTTCAGTAGTAGATGGATTCATTCCTTGGATGAAAATCGTGTCTTCCTGAGTCACCATGTCACCCCCACCTCGGTCGCCGCCGTATCCACCGCCGCCACCTGCAGATAAATACTAAATTAATCACCGCTATCAAAGCATACATAATTGTATGTGTACCTATTTACTTTTTTCCTGTTTGTTCAATGTGTTTGAAGAATTACTCTAGTAAACATTACCCTGACGTCGTAAACACTTTACCATAGCAAGACATTTAATTAATTAAATGTTTTTCAACATTGCTGTTACAATTTAACGAACCATTTCCTCTATTTTACCAAATGAACACCCTGTAGTTGTAAAATTTAACCCTTTTTAGTCTAATTTGTCACCTACTATTACTGCTGGTCAGTAATTACTTATTACCACTTCATAAAAGTCCAGGAACGAAAATGTTATGATAGCATACACAGTACTAGCCACTAATATGACGCATTTATTTTAACTTTTTTACAAAAGAAAATTAGATGGAGATGAATAAAGATGAGTTTACTCCATCAAAGATTATACTAGCCTATTTTCATTTCAAATTATAATGTTATTTGCAAATAATAATATGATGATAAGAAAATTAATAAAGGTTTATAAAGTAATAACTTATTTTGAAAAGCTGAGATTTGAATAATGTGATTAGCTATCACTTTTTTGCATTCTATGTTGCATATTAATGGGTAAGTACTGTGCTATCATAAGTACCCACTAAAGATTTTGACGGATTTACCAATTTCCAATAACACATTCACTTAGATTTCAGACAGGGCTGCCAAAATGATATACATGTATCTGGTATGACCATAAAACTTACACTAATATTACGCAATTCTTATCATAATACAACTGTAGTTTGGACTACACAATAACCAAGTCCAGTTAACACATTCTTCGCGGGAAACGTAAAAGTAAGTACCAGTAAAATAAGATAAACCCTTAACCTCAAAAATAACGACGGATGACCTTTTTGTATACGTGTAGGACAATGCACGCCATATCTTGCGTTATACCACTTACTCTTTCACACCTTTGCCAACAGAAATTGTTGTAGTCCCTGATAGTTTACGTTATAAACACAATTGATTTCATTTTTTTATAGTTGGCAACAGGTGTCATCATACCTTTAAAATGTTAATACGCATGTCAAATCCACTCTTTGAAACCGTGCTTCATAAAAAATGGTGAAAATTTCAATTGATGACCGATGACACAATGCATTGCATACCGATACCCATAGAATACCCTGAATAAAACCTACAATCATAATCAGATTATTTACCAATGAACCAGCATAATACCAGGTTTGGCAGCCCTTAGAAAATTACAAATTAATAAAATGTTAACAGCACCGCTCGCTCATCGCGAGGAGCTTTACCTTTATTATAACCACCCCCCCTGCCGCCGCCACTAAAACAATAAGAACAGCGTTTAGTACACTGGGCAGGCTGGGGACACACTGTACGGCCGCGGAGATTGATTGACACCTAGGTACACTTTTATAAGTGACCCGAGTCCGTGTTGCATCCTTTTCTTTACCATAATGTATTATACCTTGACACCTTGAAAATCTTAGAACATTTTGTGATGATGTTAATATTACAATGTGTTTGACACATGCATGCTAGCAATAACAATGAAAATAATTTCAAGAATATATTGCAATCACACAATCTTGAAATTATTTGCATGCATTCATGAAGACTTTTCTAAATTCAACTTATACACTACAAATTCAAATTGAAAAGATAGCTGCATGAAAACAATAATTTTCACTGTACGCCAATTAGTGAAACTTCATTTATTACCTCTTTCTTCAAGTAAAAAAACAATCTGACATTAATAAAGGTTAACATAATGTATACTAGTAACAGAAATTATAAACAATTTGAATTATATTCCGTATTTTGCTAGCAACCAATTAAGGCAATATTAACCTTTATTAACATATCTAACTAAATCAGAAAAATGTAACAACTGCAAAAACATAAACCATATCAAAAAAGTTTCAAATTTTCCAATAAACAAAAAGAAATGTTCATTTTGAATTCTGATGTCTCCAATCACCACAGAAAGAGGATCGCCACCGCCCAAATCGCTTAACACAACAAAAGTATAAACCTATACATAATATATAAATAAATCTATTAATAAGTATGAGATCCTTTGCTTGATTAATTGAAACCAGCGAAGAGATCTTTAATTCGAATGTTGTAATTTCAAAACTATTTTAGCAATACACATAATATACTCTCCAAAAAATATCAAAGCTGTAAAAATACCATCATCAGTGTGATACAGTGAGTTCCATAACAAAAACGAAATTATGATATCCAGAATCAACACACAATATTCATTCATTACGACGATACACAGATTTATTCCAAACTACCTGTTACCCGCGACTTCGTCCGCGTAGAAAATGATTCCCGTTTTATCCCATGGAGCATTTAATCGAGATAAAAAGTATCCTATCACCTAAGTCAGCTCATTCCCTGACTATATACTAAATTTCATCAAAACCCGTTCACTACTTCCAGTATGATTGATGGACAAACATCCAAACGAAGAAACTTTCACATTTATAATGTTGGTGTAATGTTATACGTGAAGTATTTTGTTTTTTAATAGCTATCCAAGTCATAATTAAAATATGCCAGTATATTAAATATGACCTTACAATTTACTATACATGTTGACAAGTCAGTCAGTATCCTCAAAAGAGTTACAGAATACATAATATTTGACAAATTTCACTGTGGGTTCCTAAAAACTTATTCTTTTTAAGTTCAGTTCCATAGCTCTTATATTATAATCTCCAGTAAATTCACTAAATATATTAGGAAACAGGCACATATTGGATAATAGTAACAAACAAAGTTCAATTACTTAAAATGGTAAGGATTTGAATGAGTGTTGCACAGTAACTAATCAGTTAGAAATTATGTCTTCTATAATTCCTTAAATAGTGGAGGATCTAGGTTGACTGATGCTGTAACCCAGTACAATAATAAATTTTATGAATGGGAAAACACTAAGCATTTGACATAGCATAACTTAATCATTATAAATATTAATATGTTACTGAAAGACAATGTGAATAAATCTTAGGATTTACGAAATCAATAAGTAGAAACTTCAGTTTTATAATTAAGGGACATAAGCAATTAATAATAATTGTTTATATGACTTTCACAAACCAAATGCTAAATTTAGTAATAGTAAGCTAATGAACAGTATGTTTGCTCAAGATTATAATAATTTACATCACTTGACAAAACATTTCTTGATCAACCATCTCTCACACCGCAGAGAATGAATTACTAATCTGTGCTAGGTAGGTACATACAAGGAATAGCAATGAAGTGGTATCAGAGTGCCAGGATAGATCTAGATTCTAGATAAATATTGGGGCAAAAAGTATATGTTACAAAATTGAATAACATATGTAACACTTTTACCCAAGTAATGCATTTAAGAATTGCAGTTGCAGAAGCTAGTAGTTTTATATTTTTCCTTTAAAGTGTCTAGGTAAACCAAAGAATTATAAATCACCAAGTGTCTACAATAATTAGAGGTACAGTTGTTGGTACAAATAAATATTAATATCAATTGCTTTTCCTTGTAGTTGATTCAATCTCAATATTAATAAGCACTTACTCATCCATGTTTCTGCCATCTAATTATAGAAATTTTAACACATTGAAGGTAACATAATATATTTATTTAATTTTATTTATACATCATTACAAATTAATTTGTAAATAATAGTGCCTATAAACCCTAAGATAAACCAATATATTCCAGTAACATGTGAATATAATTATATGTTAAATTCATAATACCTTTATAAACTAAATGCTAATAATATGTCTATATGTAAGAGAAACCCACATTATCTCTTAGAAAATACACCAGAAGAAAACCATTAAAAACTTGTACAGTCTCTGTAATTAATATGACCTTGTTTCTAGAATAAATTATGTAGCTCACCATTTAATACCAAGAGTTGCAGAAATACTTCAGATGACATACATCCAGAAATAAGCCGACCTCAGCTGATGATGGCAACAACATTTTAGAACAATATTAATCATCTATAATAATGCTGATAGCGTGATTCTGCAAAGCCACTCAATATAATAATTGAACCCAAGCATGTTTTTTCTGAGTACATAATAATATAATAAATAGTTATTACACAGAAGACAAATATACAGTATTGAAACATTTTTTTTAACCAAAATGGTAAAAAGCACACGGCCCACCTGATGGTAAGTGGTTAGCGCCTATGAACATTTTATATAAAAAATATTTCAGACATGAATATAGCCTAAAATGAGTTTATTAATAATCTTTATTAGTTAGGTTTTGTTTGAAGCTTCAACAGCTTGGGTCCAAAAATTGTATTATTTTTGCTTTGGAGTAGCAGTCTACCTTGCCATAACAAATGGCCCATTTTACATGTGGCTTGTATTTGAAATAATTAAATTTTGTACTGAACAAAATATAGATGAGTGAAACTTACCCATATCCACCATCTCTATTCCCCCCATCTCTATTGTAGCCTCGATCACCTCCTCCAAACCCTCCTCGATCACCGTTGCCTCCACCACCAGAGTATCCTTGTCTGTCACGATCTCTGTCTCCACCATAATTTGATCCTCCACGGTCACCACCGCCATAGTAATTACTGCTGCCACGGTCGCCACCACTTACATTGTAGCCACCGCTGTTGTTTCTATCGTAACCACCTCCACCACCACCACTACTGTAGTTTGAAGAATCATAGCTTTGGCCATAATTGTTTCCTTGTTGGCCACTTCCATAAGCATTACCTCCTGAAATTGTATAAAATTTATATGTAAGTAAACACCAGAGAAATTAACCACGATGAAGCAAAATGATGATTATTACAGTTTCGTGTAATGGCCCTAAATAACAAATAATTACCACCAACTTGATAAGTACCTACCACGTTAAAATATTAATTGCAAATTAATTGCTCAATACTAATTGTTCAAATATGTTTGTCAAAAAGGTAGTAGATTGCCGAAATTAATTGATACAGAATGTAATAAAGATACAGAAAACTTCGATTCCTTACCGGTGTTTTGTTGGTTCCAATCTTGGTTTTGGCCGGAACCATAACTGCTTTGATATCCCTGACCAGAGCCAGAATAACTATTATCGCCAGAAGCCATAGCTGGTGGTGGAACAGAATATTGAGCAGAGTATCCACCACTATAATCACCCGCTGTTAAAACAAAGTAATGAGTTATAATATCACAAAAATGAACACTTAAGAAAACTAGGAACAAAATATAATCAATAATGCTTACGGTCACCCATGTCAATTAAATTCTTGATTAAATTCTAGAGGTATTGATCAAGAAAGCGTGGCCGTGTGTCAATGAAATCAACGAACAAGAATCACGAAGACCACGAAGAGCAAAGTTGGACAGACCACGCCACGCTACGCTACAATGGCGCCCCCGCCAGGCCGCCATTCGTTTTTCGCGTAAACGTTTCTCCCAATTTTTTTATAGTCTATGAATGTTGAAATTTGAATTCTATGGTTTTAGTCAGTTTTAGCGATGCCCTTGCATATCTTAAAATGAATACATTTCGAATAAACACTGGTCATTAATCGGTTTTAACTTGATTATTTATCCTATAATTATTCGAAAAATGAACTATATCTAGCCTTTATCCTACGTTACTGAAATATTATTTATCACAGCATTTAATACGTGTTTTGGTAGGGAATAAAATACGTGCCATTCATATCAGATAAGTTAGCAACCTTGTTATCTCAGTTGTTGAAGCAGCATAAGAATCGCGCGCGCCGCGTCTGCTCAAAAAATATAAGTCTATGATCTAGTCATTCTAGCTATTTTTTTTTATAGGTTTCCCCTATACTTTCCCCTCTTTGGTTGACAGAAAAATGTAGTTGAACTGTAACCAACTGTAACTGTCACTGTCATTGACGTTCGACCGACTTGCGAAAGGAGAACCACAAAAAGCTAAATTAACGAACAAACAAGAGAAATTACTTATCTTTCATTATTTTTATTTAAAGTGAAATATCTATATACGGGTATCAATTTATATTTGTCATTTATATAGAAACTACAGAACAAATATCTTCAAATATACTGCTTGATTTGATCGTGCAGTATATTGCTCATAAGCCGATTTTATAATGTCTTCATATGTGGATATGAGTTTAGAAGATATAATTAAAAAGAAGAGACAAAATACGAGGTAAAATTCGCAATCCATCAATTTGTTTCGCCTTGGCCTATGTAATAACTTAAATGCATTATGGTACTTCATTATATTTTCTTATTGTTATAGGGTAAACAAAGCTAAAGTAAAAGGACAACCTCCACCCAAAAAGTTGCCTATTACTGACGCTAGAAATAAAATCATTTCAAAAAAACGTACACAAATAACAGATGCTAGAGAGAAGTTAGCACAACTTGCTAAACAGAAAGATGCCAGATTAAAATTAGAAAAGTTACGTCTCGAAAGGGTAAGTAACTACCTAAATAGTGAAATACCAGAATTTATTGATTTTATCATGATTAACCTCCAATTTTTACAGGCAAGAATCACTGGTCCTGGTCCTGTAAGGAATACTTTTCCAAACAGAACTAAATTTATGAGGACAAACCCACCACCTAAAGAAAGAGGTAATTTTTGTGTGTAAAATGCTTGACTGTTACAGAATGTCACCCGGCCTTAAGTCCTTCATCATATTAACATATAACTACAGAAGTATAAATAAATAAAATGCCTTAATGCATGAACCAATGTTTTCATACATTTTATTCAAATGAAAGATACATCAATCATCCATCACTTAAATTAACAAGAAATTCAACAATTATCTTCAAATTCTCAGCTATCTTCATCAAAACAACTAACTAAAAAAAACTATGTTCAATTGTATTGTTTATGTTGTTATTCAATGATATTTTTATTGACACAGTATTTACAGATTCTTCAAGGCAGGTGGTTTCACAACCATTTGGTGTAACTAAAATGGGTGTCAAGCGTCAAATTAATTCAGGAAGAATCACTGATCGCCGCCCGGTAGAGAAGTCGAGATTTTTTGGTAATTTTTGTTATTCTAATACTTAAAATGGGCTTTAATAATAATCAATATTTACTAGACACATTAAATTAATTTCACATTGTGTTTATACCTCTCATATCCAATAAGAATAAAAGTTGTGTCCTCTAACCAAAAAGTTATCATCCACAAGGAACAGTTCGAACCTCATATAGAAATAAAAAATTGTACAGTTGAAGACTTATGTCAACATTTGCTCAGCATTTTGCAAAAGACTGAAATAAAGTTTCACATATTTTTTTACTATTTTTAATATTAAAAAACCTAAAAACAAAATTATACTGTATGCACATATGTATTATTTTATATTTTAGAACAAATTCAACATAAACCAAAACCAATACTTCGTACTGTTGAAAATGATTTGGAAATAATTGATGATCCTATGGGAGATGAATATATACCCAAAGCAACTTCATTAAACCGCAAAGCAAGCTTGCAGCTCAAAATTATTGCTCATAATAATGACATTCGTGACAGCAGGGTTGCTACTGTTCATAGGTAATTATTTTTTATTAGTATCTATATTTGTTTGTATCTATATTTGTATTTGTAAATTTCAGTTATTGAAAAGGTACCCTAATACATATACATAAACTTAATTTTCAGAAACACTATTGTAGAAAAGGAGAAAAGTCCACCAAGGCCACCGTCTATTTTGAAAAAGCGCCCTATGGCAGCTATGCGAAGTGACAAGATTCAAAAACCAGAAAAGCCACATTTGGAGTATAGAATTATTGTGAGCAATTTACGAAACACAGTTACAGGTGGAGATATTGAGGTAGGTTACTTTTGTTTATTTTTTAAAAGAGAATTTGGTCATAGCATATTCATCTATTTTTCTTCCTTTCAGGAATTGTTTGGAGATGTTGGTGGCATGGTGGAGTCAAGACTGGTGCGACCTGGAACAGCTGAAGTGATCTACAAAACTCAAGAAGATGCGCAGAAAGCAGTTGATTTGTACCACAATAGACAGTTAGATGGACAGCCAATGAATTGTCTACTTGTCACACCAAGATCACCATCCACAGCACCCAGGTACAAATGTGCTTGAAATGATTAGCAGTTGAACTTGAGGTTCAAAAATATGTTGCATGCTCTATTATTAAGGATATTTTAAAGTAGGTATTTTTCTTCTTTCCAGGACCAGTAACAAGCCTGAACTATATAGCACAAATTCAAATGTTGAGCCTGACATTTCTACTTTCCACAAAGTATTATTCAGCAATTTGTAATTCACTTCTATGAATATTTTTCATTTCATGTTCACTAGTGAGTCACTTGCAAGATCAAACAGATTTGTTAACTTTTAAAGTGTGGATATCATAATGAAAATGGTGTTTGTGAGCAATTTATAATTTATGTTATCTGGTACCTTAGTTATTTTGTCCCCATTTGTAACATTGTGAATAAAATTTAGGATTCTAAGAAGATCTATCATTGTATAGAACAATTTTATCTTCGAAATACTGAACCTGACACATTACTGCAGCCAGTTATCTTTCAACTACAAAAAGAGCTGTCATTGTAAAGTAATAACTATACTTTCAAGTATACTATTGTTTATGACTGATAATGAGGACATTAAAGAGTATCAAGAATTTTACTCTTAGTCCCAGTAAGACTTCGACCTTAGTAGGTATATGATTAGATAAAATTGTATTTTCAACTTTCTTATAATGTTTGGCGGCCTCAATTATATTGTATGTTATAATGAAATTAAAGATGTTAAACAGAATAATATGTACCTCGATTTTTTCCGACTAGGGCAGGCTAAATACACTTAATAATGTTGTAGAATTCGTTCAGTACCATTTGGCAGACCTATGTCTCCTCAATCCAGTTTTACTTTCTTAACAAGGCAGAAAAAAAATTGCATTTTGTATAAATTTTTTTTTTTGTAAATTATAAAGTTTGCGTAAATGTTATAAACATAGAACTTGCCTACCATGTCTTATAATAAAAATGTATCCAATCTATTATTCCCTTTCCTATCTTGTTCACGAAAAACTAAACATTAAAGATATGTTTAAGTTTTTCAAACAAATATTACTGAAATTCTAAGTAACATACCTATATAGAAAAATAAAAAACTGCGTTTAAAAAAACCGACTTCTAAAACTAAAAACAAACAAAAAGAATGTCTATTTAAAATCTGGAAAAAGAAATAACAATTGAGATTTTAAATGAAATAGTAATACTACTTTCTTAAAGACAAAATATATTACTAGAGGAGCTTTTTTCATTAAGAAAATCGTTTTCACTTAACAAATACTTTGTTTTTGTAATATGAGTATAATATTTTTTATGTTGTCAACTTAAGTTACATTTAAAAACTTTTTGTAGTTGTAAATACGTATGTCCTATGTTCTTTCTTATTCCGGTGCTTAGAATTTGATTGTGTGTGAATCTTAAGTACCTATGTATGTATAAGTAATGAAACATAATCAACATATTTTCATACTTATTGAAGCAAGTTAAAGTACATGGCGTAGTGCTACTTTCCGCATGTGTGATTTCATGGAAGTCGTAAAAATAAATAATGTGCATGTTAAATGTTCAATCATTTAAAAATCACACTGTGTGGATTTTAGGTTTATGAATCTTGTGTCAATGCTCAAACCTGATTTCATACGAGTATCATTGCTTGAATGTAAATCATTGTAGCATTCTTACATTGGAATTAGAAACTGGTACTTTGAATTTAATAATTAGATGTCGATTTGTTGTAAGAAATAAAATTAACATACCCACATAAAATTCGTTTAATTTTATTTAGACAGTAATATTTATTTAATTATTCAGATTTAATATGTACAGAAATATTTATTTTAAATATGTGAACGGCATTATAACAATTGAGCTTTAGGTGATGCAGAAATGAGAGTAGAAGGTGTCATTTTAAAAGAATTAAAATTTCTACATCGGAACTAAAATCGTAGGTGGTAGGTTTTTATGTGATCTCCGGAATAAGCCTAGAGGGCCCATTGCCTTTACTGGGGTTGAGGGTGGCTACGTGTGGTTTTAGTAAGGTTAAAATACCACACTCCAAAAAGCGAGGCGCCTTTTGAACGTTTCCCCATATGGTTTCCCCCGTCATAAAAAAGATTAGATGTGTAGGTAGGTAAGTCCTTTCAATAAGGCCCTACGCATCAAATACCATGGGATAAAATAAAATAAAAGTACACACAATGGCGGCGCAGCAAGCAGCCACCAATATTATTGTTGAAATTTAACAAATTGTACATGCATGCATAGCTCTAGTTCTATATGGATTAGGCATAGACTATCCTTATCCTTACTAATATTATAAATCTGAAAGTGAGTTTGTTCCACCTTCACGCCGTAACTACTCAACCGATTGCTTTGAATTTTTGCACACGTAAAGTTAGAAGTCCGGATTAAATAATAGGGTACCTTTTTAACCCGGAAAAATTGATATTCCCGAGGAAAAACAAAAGTATTGGTATAGATGGCGCTGTCTGTATTGGTATATGTCACATAGGCTACTTTTTATTCTTTTGTGACGCGAGCGAAGCCGCGGGTAAAAGCTAGTACAATATATACTGGAATTAGGGCAGAGGTTTATGATGTGTGTACATAAGTGACAGCTTTGGTTGCAAGTCAATTAAATTAATCAGTACAATTTTATATCATTGAAGTACTGGTTGTTAAAATAAAAAAGTCAAAACCTATTTTTTTTAAGTTTCATTTTATAGAATTACTTTTACTTTTTGACAAGTAGTAAAATTCAGAACCGTACGTATTATCATGAAGTAAAATAAGCAAGTTAGTCACAAAATTAGGGGCGCTTTAATCTCTCATAGAGTAAATTTATTGGTTTTCATTTATATATCGGTCAAAGAGTACCCCGTGATTACTTGGGTATACATAAATTATTTTCATAGATTTTAAACAAAATATATCATGATACGTTTCAATAAATTAATAATCATTGCGTTTCCCGCTTTTTTTCATAGTCTATGGTATTGGGCATAGAGTTTTGATATTAAGTCTCTAACTCTATAGTCTATGTCTATTCTAGGTGCTTGCTTGCTCTTTGCTTTTACTTGGTATTTTATTTTTTCATTCATCTTCATTCATAATTATCTTTGGCTATGTTATGTTGATCAGTTGTCCAACAATATTTGGGTCGTTTTTCCGTGTTACTTACTATTAATAGAACGATATTATAAGAAATTTAAAGCAGTTACAGGAAGTTAAAAGTAATATAAATCCAAACCTCCAAAATGGATAGAGAAGACGGTGAAATGAGTGATGATAACGCAATGGTGGTTGATGATGTAAAGGAACCAATTTCATACACTGATGATTGTACCTTGGTAAGTAAATTATTTATTACTGATTTAATTTAATTAAAGCATTTACATATTATTAATGTCTCAAAGTATATGTTTCCATTTTAGTACCAATAATGTGAACTTACGAAATCAATAAAATTCATGTGGTATTTTTGTTGTGATGTCCAGGTGTACAAAGCTGACAAAGCAGGATTAATCGTAGAAAAATTAGAAAAAGTGGATGCCTTCAAAATAGAAGAACGAGCAAAAAGATTTGGTTTAAATCTTACAGGAAATAGAGTAATTACACAGAGACAGATTGATGAACTTTATTCAAATTTTGGTATAGAAAGTGGAAATGAGAGACATTTTCGTTTTGATGCAATCAACTTACATGGAGTTGATGGACTTTCTACGAAGGAAATATTTCAATATTTAGAAGACTACAAACCTGTGTCTCTGGAATGGATTGATGAAGTATCATGTAAGTATAATTATAATTAAACATGGTATTTACCTGGTATTTTATGCCTAATAGAGAATAATGCTAACTATTATTAATTTAATTTCCAGGTAATATTGTTTGTCAGGATCATATATCAGCAGCTTTGGCACTACTAGTGCATTCTAGAGAAATTAAAGATGCCAATTTGAAGGAAATGCTTGCTGCTAATCCAAATCACCATTGGCGTGAAGGTATGCCACATCCTAAAAAAGATCTTATTTTAATGAGATTTGCTACTAATGGAGACAAGAAAATGAACAAGAAGAAACCTCATAATAAAAATACAGAAGAATATGGTGATCAAAATATGGATGCAGTAAGTAAGAACCCATGGGGTGACCTGTGTAAATCTTGGGGAGTTTATGATCACCAAGAAGTATTTCAACGAAAGCCTAGATACAATAATGATGAAGATAATGATTTAGAAAAGCCAGATAATATTGTAAAAATCAAAAATAAAAGTTTAGCTAGCCGCCTTGGTAAAAGGCAAGCTAATAGGGACAACTATAACAATGAAGAAGCTGAGGAAAGTGATTCAGATTCTGAATGGAAAACCAAATCAAAGGCACCTCGAATGAGAATGCATGCAGATGATGAAGAGTCTAAACGAAAGAAAAGGCAGACTTCCCAAATGGTAGCCAAGGATTCAGATGGATATTCTGCATTGTCAATTGAAGTAGAAAATTCCCACAGTAATTATAAGCCAAGAGATCACACAATCATATCTGACAAGTTTAAAAGGAACAATGTTTATAGAAAAAAACATGGTATTCAGTCAAGGTTAGGTGAAAAAGTAATAACTGTGGAGGATAATGGAAGTTTTTCAAGTGATGAAGTATCAGATAACTCTGATAGTTATGTTATGAGTAGAGTGCATAAAGTCAATTCTAGTAATAATAGTGTATGGTCAAGATTAGATAGAAAACCCACTAGCACTAGAAATACAAGTGATCACAATGATTTACGTCAAATTTTGAAATCAAGGAAACATGGGAAGTCTGATGACTTAAGAGACAAATTAGGTAAATCTAAACAAAGTAACTTACGTATTGAAATTGACAATAATTATGCACATGATGATGATGATTTATAGTGTTTATTATAGGATAATTTTATATTACAAATAATGTTCTCCTTTTATTTTGTTTTTAAGATGTTAGCTCCAAGGTACTGCAAAGCATATGAATTTTGTACATAATATGGTACATATACATATTTACAATGTTGTCCAAGTTAATACCCATGAGTATTAGCGCAAATTCTCTTTAGTTTGTAGATATATACATATTTTGATTATGAGTGCATGCTTGTCTCAGGTCAGTGCAATTAATGGAAATGTCAGGACAATTATTGTTTTCTGTGAAGTAAATGCCATGCGAAAGTTGACTACATACCTATTTGTGAAATGAATAGTTTCATTTTGAAGTATGTGTGACCACATGCCTAATTAAATTGAAATATTACAGACTAACATGAAATAAATGAAATGATTTAGTTTAAATTAACTATTAAGTGATTACTAAATGTAATACAGATGTAAAATCTTTAAATTAATGATAGATGAATGAATTTTACCAACTTTCTAATGTAGGTACTTATGTTATAATAGGACTGCATAATTAATTGAATCATACTATATTATGGTGTTGTTCATTTTTTGTTGATGGATTTATTTTGTTTTCTACACACATACATGAGCGATAACAGATACAGCATTTCAAATGTCAGTGGTCATGTCATTATCACAATGTCATAAGGGCATCACAATCATATTTTAATGTTTTATTGATCATATTAAATTAAATGGGGTATTTAATTTTTTGATATTTTATGCTTGACTATGGAATGCTGCATCTTGATATTTAGATCATGTACACATGTTACTTGTGACAATAAAAACTGCAATAAAAGATTTTGAGGATATAAGGTGTTACTTTTAACTTTGCTAGTCTAGTAAAATTTGCTGTTTTGGTTGATGTACCATTTTTAATTTGGAATTTAAACAGCATGTCTTTTTAATTGTATTGATATCAGTACATGAATAGGATAGATGAGAATCATATGTAGGATTTTTAAATGAAATTCGTTTCAACTGGAACTCAATTTTTATTGTTATTTGTTGTGCATTAGAATAAAATCAATATTTTTGTGCATTTTCGCCAAACAAAAATCGTGTTGTTAGTTAGCTCAATAAAAAAGTGTACTGTCCGTAATACCTCTATTACAATGAATTAGTCATACTACAAACTAAAAACGAAATTAAAAAATAAAATGTATCAAAATAAACGATCAAGAAATGTGGGCGCAAAAGACTAGCTATTAGTAAATCTACTATAAAAATATGTTTAAAAATATAATATGTTTTGATGCGTTAGCATTTAGCAACAAATATAATAATATGTATTTCGATAATTCGGAAGACGAGTATTAGAATTGACTATAATATAATAATGGTACTCATGGACTTATGTGTGGAATATGAATAATGATTGTGTTACAGTTCTTGGATATATATGTATGTGTAAGTTGTGTGGATAATTCCTGTATTTCGTCTAAAGCCTCTAGTGATATTGATGATGTACAAACGTATATAATTGACACTTATTAACGCAAAAAGCCAGTAAATGTGACAGTACTTACAAAATTGTACTATTGCCTGATGATGTACTAATGAATGTCACATATTTTATATTCTGAAAATTGTGATTAAATTAATTGTATCCAAATTGTTGTCTACATTTACTTTTACATTAATAGATAATAAATATATTTTTCTATTCCAGAACGTTTTTTTCATAATCTTAAAAAAAATAGCACTTAGGTAGCCTGTTACTGAGTAAGTATAATACTGACGATTTATTATTTTATTCCACTTTAAACTTCCACTGCCAATTGAATAGTATTCTTAAGTACACAGTTATTACATTACTTAATGTGATATTATACATTGTAAAACTTAACAGTAATAAAAATAAAAAAAATATAATATATTGCCTGTTTCAGAAATCAAAAATGATTTTATAATTTTAATAATTAAAGCATTTCTAATAATACCAATAATTTAGGCACTTGTTAGTAATTATGCGATCAATTCGAATATAACTTAAAATAATTTTGGTGCATATTGTTACCATTATTGCAATGTGCACTTGCTAATTGACTACTAATTAAATTTCCTATCATTATGCGTTCTCCAGTACATAGCTGGCACAAACTAAAGATAGTCAACAGATCAATTCTTAAGATAACTTTCTACACATCTAAATTCTGGCACGTAATTTCCACATTTCAATTTTTGAAATGATAACTTGTTCTTATAAATCAACTTTGAGTTGGATATGAATAACTTTCCCAATATTTTAATGTGTATAAATAAAATGTATAATATAATTAGTGGAATGTTTCAGTCTTACGTATAAGTACGTGCTACGAGCTTATAACGAAACATAACTTATTCATGCCAAAAATGATTTAATTTGGATGAAAATAATAATAAAATTAATGTGTCCAGAACTCATAAATACTATCATTTTACTCTTTTCTCTTTATCTTTTTCTTTCTCTTCTTTGCGATCACTTGAATCTTCCTTCTTTTTAGAAATTAATGTATGTTTTGCTTTCTTCAGTTGTTTCTTAACTTTGTCCTTTACCTTACTTTTTTTGGGAGTTGGTATTACTTCAACTGATTTCATGGATGAACTATTTGATTCACTATTTCTTTGGGCTGAAAAAGTAAAAGTACCATAATTAAAATACCATAAAAATCACAAGCACTCTAACCGCGACATTCAATTTCGTGTTGATCCCATTTTCAACTAAACTAATGGCGGAATACTGAAACGTTACTCAATTTTAAGTCGTGCTCAAATATCGTGCCATCTCTGTCATTTACAAAGAATTTGTAGGGATAGTAGAACTATACTTAAGCACGACTTAAAATTAAGTAGCGTTTCGGTATTCCGACATAAGTCTCATGTCTTACCTAATGATAAAAAACAAATTGCCATATTAATTTTAATATTGCATACCTCTCTTATTGGCGATAGAAGCTGCAATAGCCAAATCCTCTTGACGTTCGCGCCGACGTTCTGCATCAATTTGCTGAACTAATTCGTCACGCATGCGAACTATTTCCACAAGCCGTAAAACCAATTTTTCTTCTCGGGCCTGCAATGAAATTAAAGATATACAAATTAAAATAAATATTAAGATTATAATTGTGTTGATGATCTTAAATGATAATAGGGTCGCCCTCTGTTACGTAGGACTCGTAACATAATATAGGAAAATGTATGCGGCACCTACGCGTATCCTTCGGGAATTACGAAGCATAATGTTATTTAATTATATTCACATTGAGCGATTAGAACATACAATATAATACTTATAGTAATTACTAGCTTTTACCCGTGGCTTCGCTCGCGTCACAAAAGGATAAAAAGCCAATGTGACATATACCCACTACACACAGCGCCATCTATACCAATACTTTTGTTTTCCCTCGGGAATATCAAATTTTTCAGGGATAAAAAGTACTCTATTATTTAATCCGGACTTGTAACTTTACGTCCGCAAAATTTCAAAGCAATCGGTTTAGTAGTTACGGCGTTAAAGTGGAACAAACAAACAAACTAACTTTACGATTTATAATATAAGTAAGGAAGTAAGGGTATAACATTTAACATTACAAGGAAGAAATTTGTGACTCTGAGTCATATAGCTCTGATATGCATAAAGTATGTGAACAATAGAATTGACGGTTTACCTTATCCGCATCAATGCGGTTAACGGCCGGTCGTGATTGAATGACACGTATTTCATGTTCAATGTCAGCTTGTTCTTGTTCCAAACGTTGTTGTCGTCGTCTGTAATAAGAAACAGATAAAAATCATTAGTTCTTATAATATACAGAGTGGAATGCACTTTTGGGGTGTCGTAATTGCTGTCTATATTGCGGATACACATTTGGCACAGATTGGGTTGTACTGTAATAAACCTGAACCTTTTAACATACGATATCTAACCAAGTATGAAAATTATGACAAACATAACAATGTGAAGGAAGTTCATAGTCCAACAGTGGACTGTCAAATTGTTGATGTTGTAAATCCACCAATATTTTAAAATCTAATACGAGAATTTTTGGTCCTTCCAAGTAAATATTTGTCTTTTTTTGTACCAACTAGTATCATAGACATTAAATTTGAATTGTTTATTGTCTTATTAGCCGTATATTGTCCCACGACTGTGGGAATCAGGTGTAAAGCATTTTAAATATTGACCAACTCTTAAGACATACATAAATGTATGTTGTTTTGAAACAAGGCATTCAGATGATTTTAACTAGACTTTAGAACAGGTGAAATAAAAAAATGTGTTTAGTGACACAAACACAACACAAATTTCGTTTGCGTCATAAAAATAATTAATATAAATATAATAATATGAAAGCTCGACTTATAAATAAGCAAACTCCATTTTATTATCTGAGGTGGGGGGAGTCTCTAGTCCATCACATGTTACTTACATGTACATCAATTCAGTTTGCTTTCTGAACAAGTCGTTTTTCTCATTGACTAGTTCACACAGTTGAATGACTAAATCTTCGACTTCCTCTTGTGGCACCGTTTCAGCCTCATCACCTGCAATGGACACGTGCATTGTTTATCAAGAGCGTGCTTGTAAATACCAAAGACGGATACTTAAAAGATAAAGAAAGACAAAACAATTAATTGAAGTACTAGACAGAGAAGATAGGTAATTAAATTATTATTAATACGACGCGTATTTTTTGTATTTCCAACAAGGTATACATACGACCGAAATTAATATCTATCAGACATCTTTGAATTGAGACTAGTTGTAAAGAGCTTTTGTATAAAACCGATATCGATCGATTATTAATTTCGGCCGTTAAACGACTATAGATTAGGTATATTTACAGAGTTATAGAGAGAGTTGGTGCCCAAATAGAAATAAATGTGCCTGATCATGTTTACCCTCACACTTGTCGCGAATCATGCGTTCTATGAGCACGCCTTGACGCTCGAGGCCAAGTTGTTGAGTCTCCAATAGGTCCAATTGTACTTGTAATTCTTCCGGCGACATTTGTAGTTTGACCTCGCGACGTTCTGGCAGTGGAAGGCCTGGTGCAGGGCCCTTAGTTTTTCGTCCACCTAAAATAAATTTGTATTACTTTTTATATTCATGATAGTATTGATTGCAATATTGATAACTTTAGTGTTGGCATAGTGGCTGCACAACCAGCTGCTATGCAACATATCGTGGCCTGGATTCCCGCCACCAAACAATATTTTTCCTGGGATTCACAAATTGTTATATAGGGTTTGAGTGTGATATAACTGGGCAAACGCATCTACGGTGCAGAGAAGCGAAATTTTTAAAATGCAATATGCATTTGTGTGTAGACCATCGGAATTGATGCTCGTCATACCAGAATTGTTGATGCCTTTCTCCAAGGAGCCGCATCCTCCTGATAATGTCGACAAACTGTCAGGTGGGGTCGGTGCAGGCCGCCTCTTCTTAAGCGTTGGCGTAGACTTGCCGATCGATTTCTATAAGAAATAAGCATATTATATATAATCAGTAACCAACTTTAAATTTTATAAAGATATGATACATTTTATATCAAGGAAATATAAGCAAAGTATAATAATAAAAATACTGTAATATTGCATTTAATTTTGTATGCACGCATTTATCACAATAAGTATTGTTTCGCAAATATCTGTGTCGTCATAATCACAATGAAACCGGTAAAGATAAATTAATCACGTAGTCGAAGAGATATTTAATAAGTGAAGCGTGTTATAATTTGGTTGTATTGTTGATTGAGTGGTCACAAGTGGTTGGTGAGCAATGGGTCTCGAGTTTGAATTCAGGTATCAATTCCACCTATCAGACGCACCTTTGCGGAGATTAAAAGGCGTTATGCACCATTGAAAGAAAATAAAATAATACACTCACTTGATCAGAGTTAATGGTGGAGTTGTATGAGCTCAAAGAGGATATGCTGGCGACATCATCCATGGAGTTTGTAAGCGTCGGGTTTTGTAGTCGCGGCGCCTCTGTGATAGATATGGCTGGGGGCGGCGGCGGCGCCTTACCCTTCTTCCTTCGGGGCGTACTTCCAGGGAGATTCGGAGTGCTTGTTGCCATTGAAGATCTATACATTGAACTGAAATAAACATAATTTATGACAAGTTGGGGCCTGTCTCACTATTACTGTAACAGTTTTAGTAACGGAATGTTAACCAAAAGTTATTCCTTATCTCTTAGTAATTTATCTTTTACATTGTATGTAAATGGAATTTCGCTTTCAGATACATATTTGTAAGTTTTCCTTTACCTATTATTGTGTGTTTCTTCTTCATCTGAAGAAGGTTCTTCGCCATCGGACCAGAACGGATTGACTGCAATAAGCCTTTTACTGCAATAAAACAATATTCATGACTTATCATATCTGTACTGCTACCTACTGTGTTACGGTTAAATGTTTATGCAATTGATTAGATGATAAATGCATTACAAATAGCTAGCTGGTTACAAAATTAATTGGGTTGAATGTTCCGAGTTCCGACATACTATGAAATAATCTAAGTTCGTAATAAATTTCCGTTTATCACGGGCGACTGCAACATGCGCTGTATAACGAACAGCCTTTGATATAATGTAAAGACCTTCATATTGTTCTTTTGTTGTATTGCGACCAACTATATGCTATGTAGTCGTAAAGTATTGTACTTATTTACCGTTGTTACGACATTACAAATTGACTTATTCCGTTTATTTTCCGATAATCTGAAAGTATTTTCTGACAAAGATTTAGGAAGATGACAATCTTTAAGTAGGATAAGAAAATTGTAAGTAGGTATCTAAAACCTTAGAAAAGGAATGTTTAACACATACCTTTACAAAAAATGTAAAGAATTTTTGTTTGAATGTGATAATCTCTGATCTGATACTGTGAGATTTGATAGGCTATTTCCGGCCGACGTTTTATCTTTCTAACATCGCGGTTTGGCTCATAGACATGGGGTAAAGTGGTTATATCGGACGCTGGTTTAAACAATCTATAAGTTATATTAAATTACTCACACTGGTGTCGTAGTCTCAGGTTTAGGAGCTTGTGGAATGGGTGGCACATCATCGTCTTCTTCGTCGCTACTACCAAAAGGATTTGTACTGACTTTTTTAGTTGAAGGGGCAACTTCCTTAAAAGCGAAAAGAAGAGAAAACGTTATTACACCCAATTATGTAAAATATTAAATGATTAAATATTTTAGGATAGTATACCTCTTCTTCATCATCATCCGAGAAGGGATTCAAATGGTCAGGATACTCTTTGCTGTCCAACTTAGATTCTTGCTCCTTTTTCATAGCAGAGGCTAAAGCTTTCTCCAAAGCATTTTGTTTCTTTCTTCTTGGAGGAACACTTATACTTATTTCTGGGTCTGCTAGAGTTTCTGTGGGTTGTTGTATTTCTGGAGGTCGTTCTATTTCTGGATGTTGTTCCAGGACTGTGGATGAGCTGTTGGCTATTCTGTTATCATCTGTTACATTGCTAGTCTCTTTATGTACACTGCTGCTTGCATCGTTTATGTCCTCTACACTAATTGTATTATGGTCAATTGTATTAACACAGTCTTTGTCTTTGTTACTTGTTTTGATTACATCTACAGTTTCTATAGTATTATCATCATTTCTAATATCTTCCGCTAGTTGTGTTTGTAGAAAATTATACTTCTCCATGTTACTTTTGTACACTTTCTCTGGAATATTGTTGCTTAGTATTTTCTCATCTTCCATTTTCGTAGTCGTACTTATCAATTCCGGTTGCGTGTCTGCTTCACAATGAGATCTACTAGTAGTGCTAAGTTCTTCGGATTTACTAATACTATTGTCTTTTAAAGAAATATTTGAGATTTTGTATTCAATATTAGTATCTTTTTCTATATTTTTTTCGAACATGTTAATTTTGTCTACAAAGTGACACATAGTTATAATTAATAACTGGTTATAGTAACATGACAAATGATATCAGGAATAATTAATAAGGAAATAGACACACATATGACAAACATAACAAAAGCATAGATTTACATCCAGTGATTAAAAATATTAAAATGTTCTTATGCTTGTTGCACAATAAGAAAACATTCAAGATATTGAAAGGAGCATTCAGTTTGTAGTCAACAAAGAGAGAACATGATGCAGAACAGAAATTAGCAAATGTTCCGGAAATGTTATCAATTTCGTAACTCCAAACTAATCCTATTAACTATTCAATCATATCGATCATGTTGTATAACAACACAATTAGCAACAGTAGCGTATTACATGAATTTGATAAGATTATTATATTTATGACTTTGTTTATGATTATTGACATTTATATAGAACATGGTTTAATTAATGTATTTAGCATAATTAATATGAAGCACTCACCCAAAATAGACTGTGGTCTTGGTTTGTTTATAGGAATTACTGACTCCTCATTCGAGACTGATTTGGTCTCGTTCACAGTGTCAGTGAATGCCAGCATTCCCATTTGATCATGATCATTATTATTAAGATATTTTGATAAAGTCTTTTCATTTTTACAACTATCACAGGTAAATTCAGATCCTTCAACTATCTCGAAATTCTTAGGATTCAGATGTCCAGAGCACTTAGAACAACGGAAACATCTTCTGTGGTACAGTTTGTGAGATACGAGTAGACGCTGAGCAAGGTACACAGGCAGGCCACATGCTGCACATTTGTCTAGACCAGTCTTGCCAAACCTTATTGGTGCCTACAAAGTAGTATAAAGATAGGTGTTAAGGTAGAAAGTATTAGGGAAAACAGAAAACAGATTCATTGCAAACATTGCACACATCAAGAAATTTAAAGTTAAGAAAGTATACAATAACTATTGTCATACTAACTGAAGACTCCGCGCTGGCTGTTTGAGGCGATACCTTGGACTCACTTTCAGATACTTTTGCATTCACTGAAAAAAATATTATTCAATTTGTCAAATAAAAATGAATTAAAGAAAAACTACTCAGATTACAGAACTCACCTGTGTGTCCTAGACGTTGATAAAATTGGGACAAATAAGTCAATATTGACAACCTATCTGGTACATCGTTTTCAACCATGTCCTCAGGGTCTAATAGAGCAGGAATACCTAAGTGCTTCTCAGCAACACTATAAGCCAGTTTATTATTCTCATATATATTTTCAGGATTCAACTTGGACATATCACTGTAAAATAATTATTAAAAATTTTACTTTTTTTAAAACTTTTATTATTAAAACTACTTCATCTATATAAATAAAAATGAATTTCTGTTTGTTAGTCTCGCTAAAACTCGAGAACGGCTGGACTGATTTGGCTAATTTTAGTATTGAAATGTTTGTGGAAGTCCAGGGAAGGTTTAGAGGTGAGAAAATAAATTTTTAGGCGGTACGAAGTTTGCAGAGTCAGCTAGTAATACATAATAATTGTAAAGTAAGATAATATTATTTTAATTAAGGGCCGTAATGAAGTTATAATTTGTTTATTTATTTAACTAGAGGTAGGAGTACTTACATTAAATCAGGTCTAAAATGATGAACCAATGCACAAAATGCTATGCCATTTCTCCAGGATGTTGTCATATTATCTATGTGCACTTCAGGGCAATCTTTAACTAACCGCTTACACCACAACTCCAAAGCTTTAGTGCCTCTTCGTTCAGACATTTTTCAAAACTTTTAAGTAACTTTACAAGGAGTTCAAACTGTTCATCATCTATGACTCATTTATGAAACCTTTTCACTGAAAATAATAACGAGCCATTACTTCTGCATTTGCAATGTACAACGTAGTACAAACTTTGCCAGATACTGATCATTGAACCGTATTCAAATATAAATTTCTAATAAAATATTCATCACAAGTTAGTGGTTAGTTGGCAATTTGGCATTGGCTAGAGATGTACCTAAAACATTGCTGACATACTAAAACTACTGTCAGTTTACTACACTAATATTTCCACTTGAATCAATAGTCGATTTTTTTACGTAACGGAATAAGTTATCCTCTTTTTCAAAGTCCACGTTTCTCTCTCTCTCTCTCTCTATCTCTGAAATATCTTACGGGATCACAAACAGACACGGATTTAAAATTTCTGATTCCTGTAATGTTTTTTTTTTAATATTTCGCTTAATCTAAAATATTTAGTTTACACCTATAGTTTTCAAATAAATTATATTCGATTTCCGTAGTGTAGGTAGGCATAATAAATGGTCTTCTCTAAGGCTAGACTAAGTATAGGGGAACTAGTCTAGTAGGTGTGCTTAGATACAACAACGAGTAAGTTCCAGAAGCAGAATGATGTTTTAGGTTTACATATTTACCAATATATTTATAAAGTATTACATATTAGACGTAATGATTTGCTGGTAACTGGTAAATAAACAACTAAAATTAAAACAACACCATTATACAACTTTAATATTTTTGATAGCTCTTATTGTTTACAATTTACCTATACCTATAATATCTGAGTCGCGGAGAACCTAACGGGTAACCGGGGCTGCGGCTCGACGTGCAGGAGAAGGAACGGGGTGGTTTTTAGTCAGTAAGAGTCTGACATGCCCTTCCGCCTCACCCAGGCGGGAGCAGTCATTCGATGATTTTTCCCCCTTAAAAAAATAAAAAAATAAAATACCTATAATATCTGGTAAAATAATTTATAATCCCTAAACTCCCCTTTAGGCCTACGGGAAATAAAGCCAAAGGCATAATGTGACTTAATAGTAATGATATGATGCACAGGTATATTGGGCAAGGATATGCCCATTACCCAGTGAAGCCTGGTGGTGCAATCATAATGGCACAGAGGTACAAAAAAAAACAAAAATAGTTATAATAAAAAACAGAAACTGAATTATTAAGAGTTTATTAGGCAAAGTAAATAGGCTGGTAGATGGGTAGGCAGGCAGGCAGGCAGGTACTTAGATATTTTAAAGTAGATAATTAATTTAGGTCCATTATCAATATTGGACGACAATTTCCAAGGGCATCAGGTCTGTAGCCATTGGGACACTGGTGTGGTACGGTTATAACGTTCCTGTTGGCATCATTTTGGTTTTGAATTGCTTTAATTTGTAGTTGATTTACTGCATTCTCCGAATTCAGTGAACTGAAAAACAAAGTTATAAATTAGTTGGCCACATTAAATTATGACTTAATCAGGCTCGCGAGGTACAATGCAGTGTGGGTCTATTTTGAGAGCATACTCAAAGTACAAACACTTTCTTATTGGGAAGTAATCTCGCTCATTAGGCTTTGTTTCAGTTTTTCCTGGGCTACCAATCCCAATATATGCTAGATAATAATGAGGTAGCTACATATTATGACCTTAAATTGTAGTAGAACAAGTTTGCATGAAAGTCCCAATAAAAATAATTAAGTGCGAATGACATCGATATTTAATTTATTTATTAATCAGTAGATACTTAGCCAAATAAAAGAAGTTCGGTCATTGAACTTTAGGCATGTCGCATAATGTAATCTAAGAGATCTAGGTTAATTGAAGTAAGTACCTATAATTAAGATTTTGATAATATATAAATACTTATAAATTAGTGGTTCATAGCATAAGTAGGTAGGTATGTACAATATACTTTTAATGCGTAATATCCATTTGAAGTTGGTTAATACCTACTGATGATTAATGACGTTAATATCATATTCACATCTTTTCCTGCTTAATGTAATATTGTTTAAGATTAATTTATAGGTAACAGAGTATTAAAGAAAACAAACATTGATTAATAAATAATAAACACATTATCGCATTAATTGATCGATTAACATAAAATATTTATTGACTGACCAGTGACCACGGCATTATAACTAAGTAGTCGCAAAAGGCATGTTAAATTTGAATGCCCTTACACCAGGATTTTCTCCTATGTCATGGCTGCGGTTCAGCATCGTCGCCATTTTATAGACCACAAGCAAGACGTCTACTCGGTCCACTGCTGAACCCATGACTCTCTCAATGACGTTCAGAGAGGCCGGTTGGAAGAGACCTATATTCAGCAGCTTCCCGCGATCTTTATTAGGTCATCTGTTTACCTTGGCTTACCTACATGTAACACTCAGTCTCCGAATAATCAAAGAATTATTTCGTGGGGGAATCGAACCCCTGACACGTTGCGCAGTAGCTCCTTACTGTGCTTCTTTGAAGTCTATAACAAAGATTTAAAGGTAAAGGTGCAATTAACAAAGTATTATACAAATCGTACCTTACCTTCTCCACACTTCACGGCATTGCCCATTGATGAACTCTTGTCCGGAGGGGCAATTGGTAGGAACCGTGATTACGTTTTTGGTGTCAGTTCCGCTTCTCCAAACGTCGCGACAGGAACCATTGATCCATTGCTGGCCGGGACGGCAGTTAGGTGGAACAGTCACCACATTTTGTGGCGCTAAATCCCTGAAAAAAATGACAAACAAACAATAAAGATATACTGCACTTCTTATCTGCCCTCTGAGAAATATTAAGGATATTAAATAGTTTTTAACAGATTCGTAAAGGATTGATAGGGTAATCTGTAGCCCATTATAGCGACGGCGCGCGGCGTAGTTGTTTGTCATCATCTACTTCTGACTTTATTACGTCATAAAGGTTACTACTTGTTACGCATTCGTAATGAATGATTTTCATGGGATAAATGAGTGGGTCATAGTTAAGGTCACAGTAAAATTACTATTCCACGGTAATGTTAAAAGTCATTGGTAGGGTTAGCAGGCAGATGTAAGTAGGTACTTTACGGCATACATGGAAAATTAAATATGGCTTCGTCAAATTGTTTACACACTAGCTGTTCCCCGCGGCTTCGTCCGCGCATAGCTTTTACCCGCAGCTTCGCTCGCGTCACAAAAGGATAAAAAGTAGCCTATGTGACATATACCAATACACACAGCGCCATCTATACCAATACATTTGTTTTCCCTCGGGAATATCACATTTTTCCGGGATAAAAATTACCCTATTATTTAATCCGGACTTCTAACTTTACGTCTGCAAAATTTCAAAGCAATCGGTTTAGTAGTTACGGCGTTAAAGTGGAACAAACAAACAAAACAAACTCACTTTCCGATTTATAATATAAGTAAGGGTAGGTACTGTAAAAGAAAATTCCTTTCAGTTTTTAGGTAACTGGCCTTATGATTCGCCTTCTAAGCAACCAGCACACTGATAATTATTATTCTGTCAGAAATGGTTTTGCTTAAGTTTAATGTGTAAGCATTTCCGAATGATTGTAAGCTCATAAATTGGGAATTCCCCAAGTAGAAAACAGAAATAATAGTTTAATTTTCCTTATTTGTTAGTCTTATCGTTTCAATGTAAATATTGATTTCCTTTGATAATAATAGATAGTTGTACAAATTATCGCTACTGCTGGATTGTTTTTTTTTGAAAGAATATATACCAAAGTATCGATACCTATTATTATAAGACGTCTAGAAGATGCCGCACCTACTATGGCTTGCGCCGTAAAAAGATGTTGCCTATCTATTAGTATGAAAGTATGAAAATACTTTACATGGAATGTAATTTTGTTACATTGTACAGTGGCAATAATTGCCGTAATGTGCACCTCTGCCTACCTACCTACCTGTTATATTATGTTAATTTTTGCGTCTATAACATCCACATAAATATTTTATTATACCTATGTGTCTAAATAATCTTAGAAGGTTCGAAACCTACCAATGTGACATTTGCCCCGGCAAATGTACCGACTCACCCTCATGCATGAGAAGCGGGCGTTTTAAACCTCCAGGTTGCTATATAGGCACTCCGATATCATCGGGTGCCTATGGTATAGGCCTACCTATCTTCGTTGTGTGATCGAGGCCTAGACTAGACGGATAGATCCGTCATATACCCCGGTCATCGGGGCGAATGCGACCGGCGAGAGATGTCGCGCGGTGTTCTGCAGGGTTCGGTTCTGGGGCCGCTCCTGTGGAACATCGGTTATGACTGGGTGCTGCGCACCGACCTCCCGAGCGGCGTTAGCATAACATGCTACGTCGACGACACGCTGGTGCTAGCGCACAGGAAGTCGCACTAGGCAGCGGCCGACTTAATATCGACAGTGGTTGCGACAGTCGTCGAGGGAAGTTGAGAGAGCCATTGCAGCGATTAGTCCCCTCTTTGAGGAGTGGCTTGAGAGACGCTACGGCGTCCTCACCTACCGCCTGACGCAGGTCCTCATAGGACATGGAAGTTTCGGGAGGTACCTGTGTCTGATGGGGCGGGAGGAAATGCCCGGGAGTCATCACTGCGAGGACCGCCCTGAGGACACGGTGGAACACACAGTGGGGAAATACCCTGCGTGGGCTGAGCACCGCCGTGCCCTCAGGGACGTGATCGGCGATAGCGACCTCTCGCGTCCAGCCCTAGTGCGGATCATGATGCGTAGCGAGGGGGACTGGGATGCCGTCTCCTCCTGTTGCGAAGCAGTCATGTTAGCTAAGGAGGAGGCGGGACGCGTGAGGCAGCGAAGCGCTGCCTCCTCGCAACCCAGCCATCGCGAAGGACACTCCGGGCGTCGGGGATCGCGGGACGATCTCCGGCCACTGTAAGCGCGGGCTTGCGGACGGCAAGCATGGGTGGCTCCCCGTCCGACCAGAAACAGACCCGAGCGTACGGCGCGTCGCGTTCCGCGGGCGCCTCAAAGAGCCATCAGACCACCACGGATGGAGCCCAACAGGGCTGATGCCGATTCGGAGTCGCGGAGAACCTGAACGAGTACCAGGGCTCCGGCTCGAAGCGCAGGAGAAGGAACGGGGTAGTTTGTAGTCAGCAAGAGTCTGACACTCCCTCCCGTCTCACCCAGGCGGGAGCAAACATTCGATGATATGGATCCTTAAAAAAAGAAAAAAAAAAACGGACAAGTATTATGGGGTTCATCGACATCATACAGATAACCACATAAGCTTATGCGAAAGTATGCACTCTAAATACAGGTTTTTAAACTAACTTGCCAAAAAAGCAATGACAAACGTATGTACATACCTACCCAAAAGGTTACCTATATGGTTATTCCATTTTTTATTTTATTAAGAAAATAAAATCCCTTCCATTATTCCCCTATATATGGTTATTCCACCTGTCTGCTTCTTATGATTGGTGTTAGGAATAGAATTTTATCGATCTATAAGGATACTATAGGAAGTATACAGAAAACAATGCCAATTCGCTTAATGTACAATCTAGGTACCTCCATCTACCGTATATTCTTACGATAAGTTTACACATCTATCTTATCTCCATCATGTGGTACCAATTTATAAACACCGTGTCAAATTTTTGTCTCGTGTTCTACATGATACATCTAAAAATGTTTGTGGATAAATAAAAATAAATCGAAACATAAAATTTACCTGAAGAAGCCGTCAATCAGTGTTTTGATCCAAATTTCACGACACTGGCCATTAACTAATGATTGTCCTGGAGGGCAGTTTGTTGGCACCGTGATCAAGTTTGTAGGCGCAGCTGTAACTCTCCAAATTTCTCGGCATTGCCCATTAACCCATTGTTGTCCATCAGGACAATTTGTTGGCACGGTCACCACATTCTGTGGCCCAGCGTTGATGTTTGGCCTGGCAATACAAGAACCGACGAGAAAACATAGAAACGTAATGAATAGAATCATTATTAAAGTATTCGTTTCTTCCACTAAAATATAAAAATTCTTTTGGTCTAGCGATGGTCTGCTGTTTACTTCAAGATGAGAACAACTGGACAAGAATCTTAATTGATTTCTGATTGTATTTATCACTCCAAGTGTTGTATATAGAGAAGATAATCGAATGACGTGGAGATATGATATCTCTACAATCTTTGTATTAATAAAAGCGTTTTATTGAGTTCCTTTTGTATTGTTTGTGTTTTTACAGTGTTTCGAATAAATGCATTCAAAACCAGGAAAAAATACTAATGGGTTTAAATTTAACAGAGACAATTTATCAATTGAGAAGCAAAGTAAATGCGTACTCCTGGGTTGGCATTCCCAGGGTTTCTTGGTACCTATGTCAATTTAATCCTACATATAAAATGCACTAAATGCTGATTATACGTCAAAGGAAAATGTACCATGTGCTGAGCACAGGAGAAGTAAAATTTGTACAATAAGTGACATGTACCACTGGCTGTGGACTCTAGTCCCTGTCGACTGGTGTGTATAAGTCATTTCCTGTTATTAACCAATTACTGTGTGTTTGTGTCTCACAATTTTCTTTCTAGAAATAATACTGAAGCGACTTCAGTTTCATTTTTACAAAGAAAACATCTATTTTGTAAAATAGTATTCGCAAAAGTAAGTAGGTATCTAGTTATTTAATTAATTGGAGGCACTAATAGGAGGACATTAATAGGAGATAAAATGTTGATTCTTGTCAAAGATAGTTTTCCTATGGCAACTGAGTATAATGGATGCACTTTGATTGGCGATTCAGGGTTGTGATTTTACTAAATATTGTGAAACTTATAAACAATAGCTATCTACGTTAATACACGCGACTGAAGTTCATAAGCAGGTAGAACAAACACACAAATCGTGATCGTAGCGTTATATGCACTTGTTTTAATTGTAAACAATAGAATCAACATGTTTTCTAAACATTGAAATTATTGATTAAGTACCTACCTACCTATAAGTATAACAGAAGATTGTAATGCGTGCTTTACACTTACCTACGTTTGTTTGTACCCCGTTGTTTGGGTTTCCATGCTGAAATATTGATTCTACGAAAGAGTCCATGAGAATGTTAGTGTGCGGTCAATTTATAGCGCTTACCTAGGTTTTACGTAGGTCCCAGCTCTATGTGTGGATGTAAGCCCCTCAGTTATACGCAGTAGGGTGGGCGGGTCAACATTCGCCCATGTTCTTAATACGATTCATTTAGTGTTCGAGAAACAGAGAGTCACACGCGACAGTGTAGTGTTGACGTCCATTGTTATAGGTCACTTAGTGGCCAGTTTGAAACAGTTTTAGTGAGTGTCGAAGTAAACATGAATCGTAAATGTATATTAACGATCTTTACTATCATATTGATCGTTAGTTCCGAAGGTAGAAAAACTTCTGGTCGAAGTCGTGGTTCTGGTTCGGGTCGTGGAACAAGCAGAAGAACAAATTATAACCCTCAACCTGCGCCAACTTCTTTTAGTCAAGCACAAGCACAAAAACCTACCTTGTTTGGATGGCAGGAGCGACCCGGTCAATCTTCGTGGCAATCAAAATCATCCAGTGGACAAAGTCATTCATATCCTTCTAGTGGTACTGGAAGTCACACATATTCCAGTGGCGGTAGTGGAAGTCATACATATCCTAGTGGTGGCAGTGGAAGCCATTCATATCCTAGTGGTACCGGATTATCTGGCGATAACAAGCCAAAAGCTAGTGGTGGCAGTGGCAGTCATTCATATCCCAGTGGCGGTAGTGGGAGCCATTCATATCCCAGTGGTGGCAGCGGGAGCCATTCATATCCTAGTGGTACTGGATTATCTGGCGACAACAAGCCAAAGCAACCATCTTCTCCTAATCAGCAAGCAGGACATTCCTACCCATCTTCACCTGGCTCATCAGGAAGCGCTGGCGGTGGATATCCTCAGCAAACTGGAAGCAAGTATCCACAGCAGGGAACTGGAACTGGGCAGACAGGGTACCCGCAGTCAGCACATAACTATCCACAACAACAACATGGAGTCGGTGGTTCTGGTTCAGCAGTTGCACCACCACCATACACACCATATCAAAACAACTACGGAAACCAATATCATCCTCAAGGCCCACCGCCTCCTTATTCAAATTATGGCGGATCTAACTATGGTGGCGCTGGTGGACACGGTTATTACAATCCTGGATTTGGCCCCCAAGTACCAGGATATTTTGGAAACTATGGAAAACCAAGTGGAGGAATGAGTCGCGGTGGAAGCGCCCTGGCAGGAGTGGGTATTGCCGGTGCTGGTATTGGAACAGTATTAACTGGCTTAGCTCTTTGGAATTTGGCTCGTTCCACAGGACATCATCATCACACTGTTGTATATGACAATAGAGGACAACCTGTAGCTGTAGCACCGGTTAATGATACGTCAGCTGCTGCGGATTCCATTTTAGCCGATTTAGTAAATTGTAGTTTGGCAATAAGCAATGACGATAAAACCGAAGTGCTGGCGATACCGTGTTCTATTGCTACTTCATTCACTCCCGACGCTAACGTAAAGGATTCCGACGTTAATAAAGACCCTAATGATAATACTAAGTGCACTATTGCAGTTCTCACAAAGGACGGTAAAGAGTATATGACGACTATACCGTGCTCGATTCTTCTTAATACAGCTGCAGAGAATAATGTAACAGAACCTCCCTTAGTAGTTGATCAACCTATCAACAATAACAACTTTACTAGCGACGGAGACATCCAAAACGGCACTGCCACGGAAAATCTTCCAAAAGGAGAACCAACCGCTCTTAGGCTTTCAGGTGAAGATGTAAATGGAGATGATAAAATATTTGCACAACTAAATTGCACCGTGCAACCGGAAGAAATAAGGGATCCAATAAATCCGTGTTTTTCTATTAATCATAATTTAACTGTCATACCCCTGCCAACTACGGAGGCACCAAAATGATTTGCTAGTTCCTATTTAATATGTATAATTTACTTGTATGAACTTTTTTAGTCCACAAACTTTCCGATATTATTAGGTAACAGAAACACATAATTTCATTAAAGTTTTGTATAATTTTTGCTCACCTCAACAGTATTTGTTACTTAGACGGTTATGCGGCTGTTACTCTACAGTTACAAGATCTATTTAATTTTTGTTTTAAGTGTCTTTATTGTTTTAGACTAAACAAAGTTGATTATTACCTGGGTGTCACACAGACTGTTCAATTTTGTAAAATTCAACCATTCCTGTGAATATCGATCACCGCTTGGGTTTGTGTTTTCACTAATACCTATGTAGATTTCTTTATTTTGGTGACTGTGTAGGTCGTTTAAATGGGTAGTTTACACAAAGAGTGGCATATATATGTCTTTAGCTTGTAATAAATTTGAATAATAAAAAAACACTCTAAAAACGCAATCAAAGCCACGGGCAAAGCACTTGTTATGTGTAATACACACCTGAAACGATTCGTTTAGATATACTATATCTAATAACTAATAAGATAAATAAATATTAAAATTATAAGTATTGTATACCTATTCTGTTTAACGTTAGTAATATGCACAAAATTTTGTTGTTAAGTGAAAAATAAATGCATGTGTTGTTGTAAGCACCCACGTCTTTTACTTTACTAGGTAGTTAGATACCTAATTTAACTATCTGTTTAGCTCATTTCACGTGTAGATTAGGGTTCTAGCGTTATCGCTCAGGGTCGAGGGCATATACAGGGTGGCCGGGGAGTACCTAGACGTTCAAGCGTAAAATTTAGATGTTTTATGATGAGGAGTATACCTACAAATCTTTTTTTTTTCTCATCCTGTTGGACGTTTCTGGTTCTGTTGTTTTGTGATAACTGACTAACATAAAAAAAACAATCAGCCGAACATAGTACCTCCTCCTTTATTTGAAGTCGGTAAAAATAAGAATCAATCTAACCTAGCACCTTAAAACTTATGGTTTATCTAAGATTTGCGAAATTTACTTAAAATTTATTCGAAAGTTCAAAATGCCGATCTGAGTTCAGTACCTACACACATATGACTGTCACGTTTTGAAGATTTATACGTGGCATTAATAAAAATTATAACTCGAAAACTACTCAAAATTGTAGAACATTATGTAATCGTAGAACTACACCCAATTTTACCTATACCTTTTAGGCGCTAGGTGACTAGTGAATTATTGATCGTAATCACCAATCTGACTAGTCATCGCTTCATCAGACCAAGAGCATGAGGTGGACGTGTACCTAAAGACGAATTTATAAATTATTTCTATTGGGTAAGTAGTAAGTACTTAGTATTGTACGTCAACCACTTCCCCCCGATAAGGAAAAAAGACCTACGTATGTACACAAGGTTACGTCTATCGTAGCCTACTAGCCACTGCGCCAGTAGTGCAATCGAATACTTCAGTAGTCAGAGACGTATTATCCAACAAACTAGGCAAGCAAGTACCTCGGTCGCCAGGTTACAGAGAGGCGCCGAGAGATGCGAGTGCCCAACTACCCACAGATGGCAGCAGCGTCAGAATTCTTAGAAGCGCCTGTGAGGTGATTGCCTTGGGCGCTGGGTGGAATGCTTGATCAATATACGTGTTGTGAATTAACACCATTTTTCCTTTTTGTCGATAGATAAGCACCATTACTTAATTGCTATATTTGTAATGGGATGTAGGTACTTAATACAACTACATATACATGTACAGGTACAGGTGTAGTAGGTACTTATATTAGATGGTAATCGAGTATTGTTATTGTGTATTTGTGTGCTATAAGCGACTATATCTACGTAATAATTAATTTAAGTAGGTACTTTGATAACGGAATATCGCAAATTAATTTTGATATGAGTCACCGATATTTAGTTGTTATCGGAAATACCTACATTATAATAAAACTATTTATGTTGTTGGTAGGAAGGTGTAGGTACTTACCTACATTTATATTTACTTACACGTGCAAAGAATATAATAGATCAAGCGTTTACAAATATATAGGCACATTATGAGGCAGCAGTTCATTAAAGGTTATTGAAAAAACTTCAGGCTCACATGTTACATAACTTACCAACCTAAGCTCTTTTCTATCCCGTTCTTACTCCTAATGAGCTGGCGCCCCGGTAAACCGCTGGGTCGTGCACAGCCCGGGCATGTTACATGAACTTGTGGTGCTAACTGCATCATATTATAGTCTAATGTATACTCACTATCGTAAGGATAAGTTATCGTAGCGATTTGTTTTGTATTATAACTTTCGTGAGACATACTAAATTAAATATTATGTTCTACGGCTTACTCTCCTTACTGTTTGATTACTTAGACGATTTTAAGCTGGTAGAGGCATGAGGCGGCACCTAGCAGCTTGAAAGTCGTATTTTCGTGGAATGCTGAAAGACTGAAACTAATCGAGTTACGTTCTTATTTTACACATTATTATCAATATCCCACTTAAATGATGTATTATGTAATACTAATAACGATGTGATCTATCAAATAATAGAACTTTAACTTTGGCATATTACACGGCTGAATAAGCTTAGTGTTGGTTGTTAGACAAACAAAATAAAAAAATAATATTGTCTATTACTGTTGTGCTGTCAGTGTCAATTTCTTGATGTGATAATAGTTGACACTTGACAGTTGTTATCAATACAAACACAAGGCTCAGTGATAAATGTAAAGATTGGCCAAAGTATTTTTAAATGAAAAAGTATATTTATTAAATACCTACATAAGGACTAGCTAGTTAAGATAAAGATGTCGGACCCTACTATACAGACATTTTGTTGTCACCATACCGGTAATAAAGAAGACTTTGCAGTTAGAATTATGGATGAATTTAATACAGATTCGTACAATATTGTATGTTTGGTTTCCTCTACAGTTGGGATTTTAGGTTCTGTGTATCAGGTAAGCGATAACATATTGAGTTACTGTTATCAGTTTGAACTTTTGTGTTTAATTTAAAGCTGAACTTTTGAAAGCGTCATTTTTGTAGTACTTGTATGGTTGTATGGCTTCTCATGTTACAGCCTTGCTACAGTTCACCGGCTTAGAAATTCGGGTCACTCGAGATCCAGTTGCATTAATATTTATATTCAAAGTTTATTAACATGCTTCTAGATTTTCCCCGACGTTATAAATCGAATAAAAAAAGGAGTCGGCTCAACGCGCGGTCGGCGGATCATTATTTGGTTAGCTGTTGCAGATTTACTGGCATCCTTTGGTAACTGTTACTAATAATTTTCTTTAACCAGTTAGAATTCTTTACAAAATCTGATAATAAAGAGGTAGGCACCTCTGCCTAGCTAGAGGATATGGAAAAACATTAATATTATTTTTTTAAAAACTATGAATTTGTTTATTCCAGGAGTGCTGCTACGTTCTGCCTTGTGGCTGAGATATAAAAATATTATGCCATTGCCAGATGATGATGTCAGTGTTCTATTTTGCAGCATCATTTCAGTGAGTATCTAATAATATTATTATTTTTATTCTCTTATACTCAAATCTGTGATTTTCAAAAACTTATCTCTATAATTTCAGGCCTGGACTCAATATTTTTACACAGTTACTTGGTTTTGGACCTTGTTTTATGCCATAGATACTTGGCTCACAATAAAAGGCAGAGATTCTCATACTTTGCTCTATCACTCTATTGCTTGGGGAGTACCTGCTGCAACTACTGGTGTTGGCTTGTCTATTCTTTACATTCCTAATGCAAAGTAAGTACTATTTAAACATAGATCATGTGTAGACTTCCAAAATTAGAGCAGAAAACAAATTTTGTGATAATGACAGTTCAAAAATCTTATTAATACCCAGTCAAAAGTTTATATCAGAATCTCTGACATACACCAAATTAATTTATAAGGAATTTTCTAAAAAAAAACATGATGCTAAAACAATCAATATATTAACTAGTTATGCAGATTTTATAGAAAGATAATCATTCAAATTAGGTGTATGTAAATTAGATACAAAAAGACCTTGAAAGTTGCATGGCCTTAGAGCTATAAATACTTTTTTAAATCTAATAACTTTTTTAATATCATTGCAGATGCCACAATCTACCAAGTGTAACAAGTGCCTTATACAAGATATTACCTAATTACTGTGCCACATACTTGCCTATAGCCATGGTAATGATAGTAAACCCAATAATGTATGTATTGTCAAGTAAAGATGTTGAAATGGCGGTAGCAGTGCCTCTCGCACAGGTATAGTATTACAACTAGAACAACTTGTCTATGATACCACATTTCCTGATTATCTTAAAAAACCGAAAATCATTGAGATCAAAATAGTACCTACTTACCTAGTAAAAGTGTATGTACCCCTTTGATATATTATATAAAGTTTAAAGTTAGGAAACTTAAATATCAAGACTTGTTTTTCGTATATTCTTTTCTTAGGTGATATTTCGTAAACAAACTTACGTTGATTGGACTATTTTAGTAGCTAAGGTCGATTATTTCGAGATGTCGTACAAACTTGCACTCACAAGCGCAGTGAATGAATGGACTTCCGTATTATTAAATTACTTTAGTGATCAGGCTTCGTGTGACCCCAATACGATTATCTAAAAGCTGGATGAATAAACATCCAATGCTATCCAAAAAGCATAGCGCAGACTAGTTTAAGGCGCTCGCAGTATTTAATCCGCTTTTTAAATAACGCTTTAAAATAAGCCTAACTATTTCATGAAAACCAGAGGCGGTGATTTTTTATTCATATAAGTACTAAAGAGGCTAAATAATTGTCGTATTTACTTGATGTGGAACAACCTTTTGGGAGAGACTAGAATCGGCACTAAACTTTAAACGATATAAGACGCGAGTCCGTTCAATAGGACTAACTTTGAACCGAATTAATATGCTAGAGCGTGCAGATCCGGCCGAGTACAACTTCGTGCATTTCAAACCTAACTTTGTAGTACATTGCGTGACTAATCTAATACTATTATAATATAAAGCCGAAGAGTCCGTTTGTTTGAACGCGCTAATCTCAGGAAATGGTGGTGGCCAAACGCCATCCTGTAACGTATAAAAAAACTGGTCCGATTTGAAATATTCTTTTTGTGTTAGATGTTCCATTTATCGAGGAAGGCTATAAAAAGTTACGATCGATAGGCGCCAAGCAGAGCGGGTGAAACAGCGTGGAAGTAGCTAGTAATACATGTTACGTTAGCGCACATTTGCGTCATTCGCATTGAATGCATTAAATTCCGAATATGATATGCTAAGGTAAACTTGTTTGAATAGTGATCAAATTGTATATCTTCAACTTTATCCTGTTAATATCTGATGAGCAACCTTGGTAAATGAGAAATGGAGCTACAATATATATTTTTTCATTTTATTATGACGTCTTAATTCGAATATTGTATTGTTATGATTGTGATCTTACACTTTTCAATATTAAATTATCATTAAATTAGTATTCTAATGTCGCATTGATTTAAAATAGATTTCTGATGTTATGAAGTTTGTAGGTAGTGTATCTATAATTGTCGCCTTTATTTTCGACGTAGACAAAATTCTGTTCTTTAAATTTTGAGGCCTTATTATTGCCGAGGAATTAGAAATCAAAGTTTTATTATGGCCGTATCTCAACAGCCTAATCTGGAATCCCGTAGTCCTAAGTAGTGAGTGTACCTTAAACACTAACAACTACTCGGCTAGCGACTATCTATATCTAACATAACTATTTTTCTCTTTCAGTTCACAAGCAAAGAGAGACGAGTGGTGGACACATTGAGATTAAAGTTTTTCTTGATCAATGTCGTGTTCTACTTATGTTGGCTACCCAACCTTATCAATGGGCTCCTGCTGTGGACAATGTGGTTCAATATACCAGTGAAAGTTATTATAACTATATGGTACATAATGGTCAGTATCATAAATATGAAAATATTAACATGTTTTTATTATAACTTTCGTAAGACATATTAAATTAACTAAAAATCGCGGGTTACTCACGTGAATATACTGAGAAAAGATCTATTAGTTTCGAAACACAGAGGGGTTCTTCCTTATGATTAGCGTGCGCGGTCGCGGCAGGTTGAGTAGGTTGCACGACATCGCCGCGACCGAGCACGTTTGAATATACGTGAGTAACCCACGATTTTTAGTTAATATTAACATGTGTTACAGGATTAAGTACCACAATTGATTTAACATATTAATTAATGAACTCTTGTTTCAGGCATTAACAAATCCCATGCAAGCTTTATTAAATGCACTTGTCTATAGAAAATGGAATACAAATAAATGGAGACAAATGCCATCGTTCAGTAACGAGTCCCGAAAAGAATTTCGCTTTTATGATGAACAGTCCCCCCTGTTAGGCTCTGAACCGCCGAGGTTACAGCTATCACCGATACCGCCGGGTATTAACAATTACGCTACTTTGTGATCAAATCATTCCCAGTATTGTCAATATTGTGTTATTTATACGTTTTTACTAATATACTTTTGTATATCACATTATGGCTTATTTATTATATGAAAATATTCTGGGATGTACATTCGAAGTTCGAAGACAAAAAAGTACACATGTTTACAATATTAAGTGAAATAGATGATTTATTAGTTACAAGTACATATACATATATTATATACATTATTGATTTACAAAATACAATAACTATCACATATCATCATGCTCATTATCAGGTGGGGCCATGGTTAGATCTGTAATATCTTTAACAATCATATGTGCTATCTGCCACGCCATTTCTTCTTCCACTTTAGAAGTATTGCTAGGTACAAACCGGCTCACCATTTTCTTTAACACAGATTTATCCTTTTTGTCTGGATCAGGCTCAAATTTAGATTCGAATCTGCCTAAACTATTCACTCTTCCAAGATTTAAACCATCTGGTCTGTTTCGCTGCCACAAAGCATCAGCATTATACAGTTGATTAGAGTCTATAGTCATGTCAGGTACAGAGAGATTGCGTTTCTTCTTCCGGAAGACTGGGTCTCCCATTGCAAGGAGAGTATTTTGAGTACTAATACTAAATTCACTGCTGCAATCGGAATGTGATTTATGGTGAGAGGACCACATGTTGTCAACTGAATGAATCATCTCTGAGAGGTATTTGAAATACAACTCTGATTCTAGGAATGTTTTAACATATTGAGTCAATGTTTTAAACACAATTTGATAAGGCAAATCAAAACATGTTGGAAGTGGACCCCCCTCTCTGCATATATCACTTTCAATTCTTAGTCTAGTCTCAGTTGGAAATCCAATAGGATGTGTAGCTTGGAGAGAAAAGTATTTCTCATAAATAGATATAGCATCTGCCTGAGCTTGGTCAGAGCTTGTTGTGCAACCATTTAATAAATTATCTCTGAAGTGCATGACAGCCATTAAAAATTCCAATAATACCCTGCAGGACTCTTGTTCTAAAAATTCTGTGAAGTAAAACAAAATTGTTTCATTATGTAAAATGTCTTTAAGATTTAGAGAGCCACTGGTCAAAATGTCAATTTGTGCTTTGATGTAAAAGGGGCTGTTAATGAAATCGTTGTAGTGATTATTTTCTATTTGGCTAATTAGAACTTCTTGCACTGGTTTAAAGCAGTTTTCTTGTATCTGTCCCTCAGGTTGACAGATATTTGAGATTACAGATTTTCTATAACTATCTGGTAAATCCAATTGGTATGGGGCTTCTAAAGCAACATATTTCTTAAATATAGCTACGGCTTCGTCAGTGTAGTCCCACTGGAGCTGCTTGTTGTCACTGGATGACTTTAAGCGTGCAGATGTGTCATGTTCAGATAAGTTGCTGCAGGAACTCATTGAACATTCATTAAAGCGTGCATTACTCGTACTTGTGAACACGTCATTATTTTCTCTCCAGTTGCAATTTTGTGACTTAATATCTTTGTCTTGTTTCGGTTCATGCTTGTATGGAAGATCTAAACTTTGAGTACGATTAATTTTTGATAAATTCCCAGTTTCAGTGGTGTTACTTGAGTTCAGTACATGTTTCCGGAATTCTTCTATTTCCAACAAACATTTAATGAGGGCAGGTTTTCCTATTGATTCCATGTATTGTATAAAATATTTAAGTGCCTTCTTTTCAAATATAATATCATTTACACTTAGAGACAACTTAGAACTCTTCTCAAACATTTGTTTGGGATCTGGAATACAGTATCATATGACTTAATAATACTATCACATATTAGTTAACTTATTTGTTTATATTATGTACTTACCTTCATTTTCTTCTAGTAGTATTTGCGTATTAATTAAACTTTTGATATCTGGTGTACTAACGGATTTTACTTCTGGTGGACGTACTGGACACCCGGTTTTACCTTTTGCTAAAATTAATGAAAATGATTAAACGTATACACCACGTAGTTACATGCAAGATGTAAAAGGGCGACGGCTAAACTAGTGAAGATTACTCTGATCATTACAGAACACTTTACCTGCACTTTTCCAGAACTTAATCATTTTCGTATAAGTTCTTCGTTATACGTGTCTATTGGTGCTATGTAAAACTGCAGAAGTAACCTACGTAAGCTCTTCATAAGTGCGTTTTATGAGCATAAGCGTAAACAATAATAAGAAAAATGAAAACAATTTGTTTATGTACGAGTACTGGATTACGTTTACATTACAAATGTCAAGTAAGTCAGTGCAGAAAACGTCAAAAGAAAATCACTATTGTTGACGTTTTGTTCTTTTTAAAAGACGTGGTACTTTGTCTTTTAGGAATTTAGATTTTAGTGTAAATTGTGATTTTATTATGAGTTGTATTCATGTTGTATTGTATCAGATTCAAAATACATTTAAATAAAAATACATAATAATATCTGTTTTTAAGTATTAATGTTCTTTCTTAAAGTTTAAAATCTCATTTCAAAACAAATCAGTATATTTATAGTGTAGACAGGCATACCAAATTAATTTTTAATGAAATTAGCAATCAAATCTATGTATAACTATAAAAGAAAAAAACAAGTTTTTAGTCTTCACTTCTTCGTGTCCCGCGAAATTCAAATTTTTGTATATGTTTGACTATTATTTAAAAAAACCATCCACATAGCTGAATTAGTGAGCAATTTAGAGAAGTAATGAACTTTTACAATGTACCATTGTAGTAAAAACTTGACGTTGTAGAACTGCTCTGAGTTGAGTTACATAGTTATGTTGATGGATAAAACAAATACAACTGTGGAAACACATAATTGTATTTTATCATTATTTTATCCGATATCGCGTGTTGCCCTGGAACATTCACCTTAACTTCTGGTAGTAAACTGTAGCCTAATAGGTACCTACCTATTCATAAATAATTTAAAAAATAGATAAATTAAATAATTTAAAGAATTGAAAAATGAGTAAATACTTCCACAAGATGATAAGAAAATGACAACCATTATTACATTTCGATAAAGGCATCGACCCGAACTTCACGGTAATTCGATATGCAAATAAAGTTTTAATGTTTTACATTCTGTTTGCCTTTTGTCTGTCTTTGTGGTGGGTATGGGTCTGGGTATGACATTGAGATAGCTGTAAGCACCGTGAGAAAATAGCATTCAGATACTTTATGTACCTATCTTCTTTTATTAAGCATTTTAACATGTGTCAATGTACTAACACTGTAACGTGGATGTTATAGGTAGATGCTTATCTACTGCACTCAGTAGGTAAGGTACAAACATTGAGAGGGAAACAAAACACTAACTTGGCAGGTATTCAGAAGATATTCCTACTGTTTTATAAAACATGCATTTTGTCTTAGCTGTTTCATTTACGGATTTATTATTGCAACTATAAGTACCTACCTACCTATTTATAATTAGGTACTTAGTTCATTTATAAACGTAAGCCTAAGTGGGTGTCTTTGGGCCGAATATTTAACCAGTTGATTCAGTAGCCACTACCTACACCAATAAGTAACTTTTAACCGGGTCAGGTTTATTATTCAATATTTTATAATAAATATTATTTATATCCTTAAATTATCGCCTTATTTTTCGCATTGAATTTATCGTACTTTAGCTTAACGAACTTTAAACTTACCTGTTGGCTATGCCGATTGACAAATGAGAGGTAAGGATTAGTTTATTATTATATTAGGAACAAGATAGGTTCCTGTCTAATGTAGGTATCTATCTATGAAATTCTTTGTAAATAATTATTTTTGATCAAACGTTGTTCATTCGACATCGACGTAGGATAGGCATATTAGGTAGTTACGTTATTCGGTTTAAATTGTTTTACGCTTTAGCAAATAGGCAATATAGTCCAGTGTATTTACATCGGTTACAGTCTTTATCGGCAGTCATAAAACTCAGAATTGATTTTATTTTAATAACGAGAATAAGAAATCATTATGAATATTATATTGTGTTTTAAATAACATCTAACTTGTTATAAAGATGCAGTTATTCTAGGATTAAAAAGATATTTAACGAAACAAGACATGATAATAACATGCTTTTTATTCCCTGAATGTGTTGTTATTGTTATCACACATATTTGCCGGAAGCGAGGTCTTGTCCAGATCACAAGTTCACAAGGTACAAACAGAGTAGTGTAGGGCGTCCTCCAGCCTCCAGCTAGGTGGAGTGAAGATATCCGCAAGGTGGCAGGCAGTGGTTGGATCAGAAAAGCTGAAGATCGATCTCAGTAGAGTACCATAGGAGAGACCTATGTCCAGCAGTAGATAAACACGGGCTGACGATGATGAAGAAGATACAAATCTATTGTGTTCCTTTATCATTTAAAATATACCTAATTTGGCAATCGAATCCGAGACTTTTCGCTTGGAGGAAAGTTGCGCTTGCGATCGCTCGGCTAATGAACGATTGCAAGTAGGTAGGTACCTACCTACCTAATTAGGCACGGGCAAAAATAATAATTTTAAAGGAAACTAATGTAATAATATTTTCCTTCCTGCTCGAAAATCTAGATATGTTAGAAATACAGTTATACTACAATAGGCACCATGAAGCAACGTAATGTAAGTAAATAAATAATAGTTCGATATTTTCGGGGCATTGTGGACAATAGTTTCAAATCAATACGATACATAGGCATATAAGTGTTTAATTAATAAACGGTAACGTAAAAATGAAATAAGCAATAAAATACTACTTATATTATCACATAGATAGCTTATGCCCGCGGCTCCAGCCGCGTTCCCGTAGAATAGAAATAGCATATGTTTTATTCCAGACCATAATCTACCAAATATATATTACTCCAAATTTTATCCCGATCCCTTCAGTCGTTTTACGTAATTGCGTAACAAACATACACACAAACTTTCGCATTCATAATATTCGTAAGAAAATAAGAAGTAACTAAGATAATATGCACCGGTAAGAACTTCAATAGGTATAAGTATTATAAATTCATTTTGTTACTCCCATAGGTTACTTACTGCCTAGAACTTGACCATGTTCATAAAATTAATTATTAAGTAAACGCTTCGAATCTGCTATCCTTACGCAATCTGAAGACGCAATGCACCGTAGGAGGCTATCGACCTTCCCACAGTTACTTGAAATAACTGTTAAGCTGTTGGAAATAACTTTATGTTAAGCTGTGAACAGGGCAACCGGTGGCTCAGACCAGTCGCGCATGACCACGGGACTCGATCGCAATTCCTATCTCATCGCCTACACGCGTACTTAATTTATCACCAGAAATGTGTAAATTATTAGCTCTCGGTTTGACATTGTGCTCTATTTTAGTGGGAACAACAGATTGCACCTCCAGTTTCGATCAGAGACAAACGGGAGATTTAAATGTACAAATTGGTTTGAAAAACATAAACATCATAGCGTTACTAAAAGGAGGAAAAGAGGAATACGTGGTACGTACATAATACATGGGTAAACATTTTAATTGGTGATGGTTCAAACAGCGTAGGTACTATTAAATTATTACGAGATAAAGAGCTGTAAAGCTGTTCCAGTATTGTTCATAGTATATTTACTACCTAAATGAATTTACGTCTATACGAGTTTATCAATTAATCCACGTATTACAGCCACAGTACATTTCATGGTGCTTATCGCTTAATTTTGCAGGACTACGATTACGCTTACGATTACTCGGAAATGACGATAAAACCGCAGAACGGTACAACACCAAAACCGTTAAATGCTAACACAACGATTTCTACAACAGTGCTGTTAGAACAGACTACAGAAGGTATAAGGAGTAGTACTGGTGTCGCTGTCGAAGTAACCGAGGCAGCTCCTAACCAACCGGCAAACAATAATGTTGTCACTACACCTCAGGCGACAGCGGATATCCTCACGACAATAGCTCCAGATTCTTCAAATAAGGCAAATATCACCACTGCTTTACCAATAGCAAATAAATGCAGAAGAGGATTTGTTCAGAATAATGATGGAAAATGTGAATATAAAGTGCATGGTACATCGAATGCGTGAGTGTTTTTTCAGTGTTTGAAACGTTATGCATAGAACATTATGACTAGCTGTTAATTTAAAAATTATAGGACTTGACCTTGACCTTTTTTTATAAAGGGCAAACGCAGGTGCAGCTGTTGTATTTATAGCCTTTTTATAAGTATAATAAACAACTGTGTGGTATATACGAGACAATTAATAATCGCAGCACGTTATTGTTGTCGACAAAACAGTGTACCTAACTACCTACCACTACATACCCACGTAACTACTTAGGTATTCGTGCACTTAAATTATGATGCCAGGTTCCCCTTATTTATTTATTTAAACTGTCAAACACCAAGCGGTCACCGGTGACCGCGACCTATTGTTCTTTAATTGTGTCTATAAAACCGGTACTCGACGAGTTAAATGTGCATTTGTAGCCAGGGACATGATGCACCTGACGAAATTCTTAACGTGACTAATATACTGATTTTTTTTTAAGTAATACAACTAATACATAACATATTTTTGTAATGATATAAATTAAAACTGTTCTCTTTTTCAGATTACGTAGAATCGTAAAACTCGCTCAAAAAATCAAAATAGGTAGACAGTTTGGAGAATCTCAAGACTGATTGAAGATGAATATTATTTCAAAGAAAATTGACTTTATATTTTAGAGACCATAGGAGTGTCTTTATAGTCTCTAAAGTCTTCTAAAAGTAAGGTATTAATTAGATATACATACTTTAAGACTCATAAATTTTCCTTGGATGGATTAATGTTGTATATGATGTAGAAAATAATACTACCAATATGTGAGACTGTCAACAATAAAAATGATTCTTTTTTTATTTATAGTTGTAATTTATTTTGTCAATCCAACACAAACAAGATTTTATCACCATTTTCTCCCAAAAGTCAACAATTTATACTATTGAAACAATTATAAGTTTTAATGTTGCAACATTACAACATGGTACACTTCTTCATATAGGCGCACAAAATTAATTAATTATTATAAAATAGGGAATGTAACAGTACACAAGGTTGATGAAGGAAGAAAACATGTGTTGCAAAATAAACTCAAGTTATTTATTTACATAAAGTGCATATGATCAGCACATAATGTGTGCGCATAATGAAGTATTTTATTAATATTTCAACATGGGACGGGTACTAGTAATTTTGCATTTGTTGGCTTTGTACTATCACCGTTGAGCTTTGATATCAAGTGCTTTAAAATAATGTCAATTAAAGTTATTGAAATGAAATAATACCCACAATAAATAAACATATACTAAACAGCATACAATCACACCAAAATTATATATTAAAGTATAATCACACAGATTATAGTTTACAGAGGCAGAATAAAAGTGGAATGAAAGCACCTATAGTTATAAAAACTGGGATCAGCACTGAACTCTCGTCCATAGAGTATGGATCAGGTTGTTTAGGGCCACTGGCACGCTTTGACTTAGAACTCTTTTCTTCTACTTCATCTCTCGGTTCTTCAGTTTCATTTTCTGGCCACACCAATGGGGGCAGTTTAGGCACTTCATCAATTGTGCCTCTCATTACATACAATGCATTGATTTTAGGATTATCTCTGTATCCCTTAATGAATTCTACCTTTATTTTCCCACCTCTTATGTCAGACTCTTCCTCATTGTAATACAATTTACCATTTTTAATTGAGTAAGGGATATACTCGTCATGTGCGACACCACGACCTACTTTGTCAAAAATGTCCAAGTCCGCTACAATAGTATGATCTCCGTTTAAAACCACGTCAAATACTTTCATGTTAGGGGCATTGAAATACACTTCACTGAACTTAAGCACAAGCACATAGTCGCCGTCTCTGTTCGCAGGAATATCGTAGCCAAACGTGCTGTGGTGATATCGCTCAGTTTGATACAATATTTCATCTTTTGTGTTAACTCTACCGATCATAACCAGTTGTTTACCATAATCAGAAGCCGTGCCTATTCTTCCTTGTAGAGGGTCCTTTTCATAGTGTATGCCATAGATGTCCGTGTGGGACGGACCGCCTGCATTGATCGCGTAAATTATTTCACCTAAGCCAGTCGCACTTTTTAAAACAGAAAATATAGAAACGATGTAAAACATCAACTGACACATCTTGTATGACAACTATAATCTTCAGAAGTTGAATAATAATGAACCACTTTCCAATAGCTAAATCAACTGACTTTAATTATTGAATTCTTTGATACATTATTAATTTATTTAAAACTTTCTTTTTATCGCTGAAAATTGACACAGTAACTAACAGCCGGCAATCGGTAAACCATGCCATGCATGCCAAATTCTTGAATCGATTTTTTTATTCTGTCTGTAGCAAAACGAAGCCAAGTCATTTGAGCCCCTCATCGCAATAAACATGTAGTAATAAGAAATTCATTTTGTGGCATCATATTAATATTATTATTATTTATGCAATTTTGACAAGTATTTTATATTTATAAGTATTATATATTTTATTTTATTAGACATCAATAATATACGATAGTAATTAAACAAAAATAAATATGGACGAAAACTGAAAATCGAGGCCATTATTAGACTATATAATATTATTGTTATTTGAATAAAAGATATTACTATTCATTCGTCAAATTAAGATTAATAGATGAAATTAATCAGAATTCTTGTAGAATATTTATATAATAAAATGAATCTTATGTAACTGTAAGTGCATAACTTTGAATAGGTACAGGTATAGATAGATTTTCTTTTGTGTCCTGGGTGCATTTATTTGAATAAAATTATGATATTGACATTTGATCCCGCTTGGTGAATTTTTTAAATTCTTTTGAGTCCAGCAGTATTTTTCGAGGTCATTGGTTCATTCCATAAATTAACAATATAGTTGTAATCACAGTTGTGTTAGGCTATTATCGGGTTACAAAAAGTTACACTGTATTATGTATAATTAATTTTGCATCTTTTTGCATTAGGTAGAATAAAAAACGATAAAACGAGGAAGCGAAAGAGGTAGAGATAAGAATCGTAGCAATTGGCGTTTCATAGTCTATGCCTGTGGGAAATTATCACTGAAATTATGTATGTTTAACAACCAAGCCTTTATATCGTGACATCTATCGAAAATATTTCAAGACCGTTTGATTTCAGAATTAAGCCAAGAGATGGCGTTTTTAACAGTTTCAATAGTCAAAACATTATTGCAATTTACTTTTTATGATTTTACAATACAATACCTACCTACTTGAATACAGAATAATGTTATTCCTAACTTCAAAAGCATTTTTCGAATCCCTTTTTCCCTTGGTCACGGCATCACGCGTGAATAGCTGGACCGATTTCACTAATTTTGTTTTTGTTGTATTTGTTATTCTTAGGTAAAGGTTTGACAGAAAAAATCCTGAAAATCCTACGGAAACGGAAGAAAACTGCATTGCGCGTACGAAGTCACGGGCAAAAGCTAGTTATTAGAATAAAAATTAAATTACATTATAAATTATCGTTAGTTACAACTAATTTAATTTTGATTTCATTATCTGTCGATAGGCTAGAAAGTTATAATTAATTTTTTTTAATAAAATATAAACATTACATGACATCACATCTTTTATTCCCGAAGGGGTAGGCAGAGCAGCACATTATCTACAGCACTTAATGCGACTGTACAATGTAACACCTACTTTTCTATTCATGTTATGAGTCCCATGTATTTACTACTTTACGTACAGGGTGAGCCTATTGCCATATACCGGGCACAATTACCATTTAATAAAATATTGAGGTTATTAAGTAGTTATGTAGTAGTAGTTAAGTAGCTAGGTAATCGAGAGCGACTAGTGCAACTAATATCTAACTAGAATGTCGTAACCTAAGAATTTCAGGTAAATATATGTATTTATAATTTATACAATACTAGCTTTTACCCCCGGGGGCAAAGTTGCGTATTCCTTTTTTAACCCATGGGAACAATTATTTAGGATAAAAAGTTTGATAGTTTCAGCGTGATTAAAGACAGACATCCAAACATTTATAATATTAGTTTGATGTACCAAGTTTTTATATACCTACCTTGTGACATTATTACAGTATTTATCTCTACCAAGTTACCAACTTAATACAATGTTATCCAGGAGAGTACCTATAGAACAATAAATAACATAAAGGTATTATATCTAACACTAATATGGATTAGGAACAGTTTAATGACAAGGTTTTTTCACGTTGCGTTCGTTGACATGGATTTGCGCCATGTTGCAGGAGATTAGAATAATTTATTAGGGGAATAATTAATGATTTCGACTTTTCCCCTTGAATGAGCTCGTAGTCAGCAAAATTTTCAATAACGCACTCTCGACAGGGCTTGATAAATGTTTTGTGGATTAAACAGGTGACTTTGCTAAACGATAAGCTATAGTATGGTTAAGTTGGAAGGTTTACTTTTAAACGTTACTATGATGATATTTATTGATCAGGTTTCCAAAAATGTTTAATCTAGGAACTTACAATAAATTTGAAAATTCGTTTGCTATAGTTTTCGTATACAGTTCCATGATTGGGTACTTTTCTTAGTCAAAAATAAATTAAGTATTTCGACTGTTCAGTACAATAAAATATTACAAATTAATCACACTTTCGTTAATTGATTTCATAACCAACTTAATTTTAGTATTTTTTCAGCAAATTTTTAAGAAATAAGTATTCTGTTTGCCGTTAAAAAACGGTACGTCACAATATACAACTTCGTACGAAATTCATCGAAAATTGTCGTTTTTGACAGTTCGAAAAAGTATTGAATTTGACTAGTTGGCAAGTATCCAATTAGTAATTAGGTTTACACTTAAACAAGGGTAAAGTATTTACAGTCCGATTGTGGAATGAACGCTGTAGTTTTCCCAGTGGGCTAGAACATGGGGTTCTTCAAGACGGAAGTGAACAGGTTTCTTAAGGGTCGGCAAGGCGCATGTAATGCCCCAAGTTTTGCAAGCGTATTATAATAAAAAAAAACATAGTTATAGTTGTTTATATATGATCCAAAATTATGTATTATCTCTTTTGAAGTTAAAAGAATCTCTGCCAGCGCACTTGTTAAATGAGGTAAGTACCAGGGTACCTACCTATTATTCGGACTTAATCCCTTAACTTCTGACCTTATATTATATACTTACTATCCTACTTGTAAGTTTCCGTAGTTCGGATAGGTATCTATAGGTAGGTACAGCGAGTTCCAACTAACTCGCTCCCTTTGTCAAAATCGAATTTCGAAAGCTGTGTTCGGGTTATCAGCGCCATTTGGAAGTTTGCTTTGGTTTGGTCTAGATTGTGAGGCTTATCTGATTGCAGAGTTCCGTTACGTGACAAATGTCTCTTAATGATTTTTTCGTGGAAGCAAGTACTAATTTTATCGCTGAAATAAATTAAATTTAATAAGTGTTTTATGTTTTAGTAATGTTTCATTGAACTTATCTCATATTATATTTGTTTTGTGTCTCTCTTAGACATAATTATGTAATTGAACATCTCTATTTATGACGAGTACCTATCCTCTGTAAACATTGCTTCTACCAGGAGTCTTCTTATACATACATGAACGGTGGATTGCCTTCGTAAGGCTTAGGAAATTCCGATAACCGATTCCACTTTAACTCGTCGAGTACCGTATTTATAGACACAATTAAAGAACAATAGGTTGCGGTCACCGGTGACCGCTTGGTGTTTGACAGTTTAAGCACTAATTTACTCCGTCTCGTCTATTTTATAACTTTATACTTAATCAAGTTTACACGTTAGTTACGAAAAACAAATAAAGTTGTCCGACACAAATTACGAGTTTCAATTAAAAAAAAAGGTGTGACTCGGCTGTTTTCATTGCTTCGACTAGTGATGGGGTTTCGTTGTTATCGAATATCGACATTTCATCGACAGCCCTTGTCTACATATGTATAACCCCTATTGATGTTGTCGGGACAATACGTAGAACGTAATACGGCTTAATGTATGCTATTGTACGAAAATACAGATCAAGGTGAACGTGTTATAATACTTGTATAGAGTTGAATAGTATCCTAAAACCTTTCGCAAAAGAGTTAAATATTGAAAGGTCAGCCTTTTGTAAAGTGATGACGCGGCGACTGTTGTCGACTATTGCGAGAGGGTCAATTCTATTATATGTATATATTTTTTAACTTTTATCAAAATAAAAATTCTATGAGCTACTAAGTGCCTATTTTTTCTGATATGAGTACCTGTTAGAATAAAATGGACACAGTATGTAAGAACATAAGTATAGGGTAGCTACAAAGCAATTTTCAATATGGCCGGCCTTTACAGGAAGATGTGGAGCAGACAAAGTGCATTACATAAACACTGGATATTATACAAGTTCTCTGACCAGCGTAATGCGCTCGTGCCTCAAACACTCTCTTTCCTTTGATACCCGTAATTCGCAAATGGGCTACCCAATAACTCGGATTTTCGATCAGAGACATAACAAAGAGAAGTCAGTTACAAAGAATGGACGGCAAAAATAGGGTTCTACACGAATCCAGGAAGGGCCAGTGATTTAAAGAGATGGGATGTGGATGTAAACTAAGGTTCAGGAAATTGGTCAGGCTACCTACATAGAGACGCATGATTTTAGTTAAACCTTAGATAACTTTAACTTTATATAATTTATCATTTCATTTTCGAAAACAAAAATGATAATTATGTTACTTTTATTGATAAATACCTACTAATTGTAATCTGACTCTGTAGGTAGTGTTTAGACACTATAGAGTAATATATGTATGTAAACTATGTTTAAAGAAAGAAGAAAGAAAAATAATTTATTTGCCAGTAGGCATGGTGCACCAAATACACAGACATACATATTATGATAAAAAAAACAACAAAAAAAAAACAAATTAAAAAAGAACAATAAGGTGGCAACATGCCCATGACAACAGGGTTTGCCAACTCAGTATTTGCTGGACACAATAAGTAAGTACCTACTCAACATTGGTTTTCACGGTTTTCAGTTGGCACTCTTGCACGGACGGTAGCAACGAAAAATGTTGTAAAAGTGAAATAATAAAATGATTACGTGACAAAAATATATTAAAAAAAAGGAAAAGAAAAGGAAGACAGTTAAAAATAAATATACATACATAAATAATTATATCGTGTACCGTCACCAAAGGAAAAAATAACTTAATAAACTATATTTTGATATATGAACATACTGCGGGTAGGTGTGAAGTCGTGGAGTGACCGTACAGCCCAACATTTATTTTGAGAAATAGAAGCGAGGAACAGGTCGTCTCCTAACCAGCACTACAGCAAAC